CTTCGTCACGCTTGGTGTAGGTTTGAGAGGTTTGTCTCGCGGACGCGGCCAGCGCACCTTCCGCCAAAGGACAAGTCGGAGGACCAGGCGCACCTGCACGAGTGGGAGAACATGATGGCGCAGGCGCGGCAGCACGACGCCGAGGAGCGCAAGAAGCAGGCGGCGCGGCAGGCGGCGCGTGAGAAGCGCTTGCTCGAGGTCACACCGCGGTGGGAGAACATGCTGAACGCAAAGGACTTTAGTCCCGCCAAGATCCGCCATGATCCCGCAAAGAGGAAACTATGGTTTGAGGGATGCCCGCCCCGCTTGAGGGGGAAGGCGTGGCAGCTTGCGATCGGGAACCCGCTCACGATGCACAAGGGTGAGTTGCGGTGGTAATGGGCCGAACTAGCTGATTGAAGGAGTGCTGTAGCTGACACTCAGACGCATACAAGATGTACCTGAAGCGCTCGCAGCGAGCGCTGGAACACGGCCGATTCCCCGCCGACATTCTCGCGCAGCTCGAGGAAGACCTGGACCACACGCTGAACACTTTGCACATCTTCCAGCGCGGATCTCCGATGCGGGACGAGCTGAAGGAGCTCATCTGCGCCTGGGTCGTGTACCGCAGTGACGAAGCGCTGGGCTACGCGCCGTACATCAACCTGCTAGCGGCCATGTTCCTGCTCGTGTTACCAGCCGACCAGGCCTTCTTCAGTCTGTGCAACTTTCTCAGCCGGCCGATGCTGCGCGCGTTCTACTCCGAGACAACGGACGAGATCGCAGCCTTCTACCGCGTGTTCGAGAACCTGCAGATTTCTTCGTCGGAATCCATTTCTGCAGTCAGATTGGTCAGAAACGCGTTATTTCGGGGTGGATGGCGGCTTGTAAGAAGGATCGAGTTGCAAGGACATGAGTTGCAACTCGTTGCAACGAGTCGTGGTGGCGTCGCGGAAGCAAATGACCCTGACGTAAGGGAACATGGCGTATCACAGTCCACCTCATGTACACGTCAGGCTGTGCCTGACCGTGCCTGGAATTACTCGGCGTTGCAGTATTAGGGAAAAGTCTGTAGCGGAATATAGTAACGCCCGTCAGGCAAGTCAAGAATAGAGTAATGGCGACTTGGACACGTGCGTGAACCCTTTTGCGTCCACTTGTGCGACATTTGACTTTTCGCACAGAGGAGACCTTAAACTCGTTTTCTAATCTACCTCGTGCATCTGTCGTCTGCTACTCAACACGCATTGTTACTCCACAGGCTGAGATGCGTGTGTGTGCATCGCAGTGGAGTTCGGGAGCTCGGGACGACGGGCAGTAGCGATTGACCACTATCCATTGTCCGGCTTGTTCGGTACACCGGCTGATGCGGTTCATGAAGCGTAACTGAGCTAGTCATCCGCTTATCCGACGCTTGCAATTCCTAATACTGCCAAGGCAGATCATCTCCCCGCACCAATGGTCCCCGGTCGTCACACCAGTGGGACTCTAGTCTAGACTTAGTCGACTCCAAGCACCCGTCAGCGCACAGTTGCATAGCTGTTACGGTTGAGGAATGGGACCCAGCGGCAATGGGCCGATACGTAAGATCGCCTGCCTGCAGTAGGCACTCGCCGAAATTGCTTCCACCGCCGTAATACCAGTTCAGTGCCTACCCGTGCCTGGCTCTATATGGGACCTCGCTCGCACCACGCAGCATGGTCCCTGGCTGACGTTTGGGTCGTCTCCTCAAAAACCAAATTCTCTCTGTTTGATTAAACACGTTCGTTCTTCTCTTTCTCTCTACATCCACTTCCCCTATCACATCCTGGCGCAACTCGTGAGTCTCTTATCTCTTCCCCGTGCTCCCGCGTGCTCAGCCGGGCTCAGCCTATCTTGGCTCCGCATGGGCCGCACAAGGTCTCCACAATTTCATGATGAACAACCATACCACACTGAAAATTATGAACGCATCCGCCGGCTTCACCGCAGCGCGCGTCAGGCTTAATTTTCTATTAGCTCTAACTGACACCTTTCCTCTTTGCCCACTTTGTCTCTCGCTTAAGACATTGAACAAAGACGCTGACACCATCAGTTCCCAGCAGTTTCGTAGAATAGTGACGGCAGCGGCGTTGTGTATCAGGCTGAGTTTTGGCGGATCCGAACAACGCCTTCTGCGCAGTCCGTCTCATCTGTAGTTCCCGTAGACCAGGTGGCATGGTAGCCTTTGTAGTAGTTAGACGGAATGGGAAGAAATTCGCGCACTGCGACTGGTCCTTGCGACTGATCAGTTTAGGCTGCAAACTGAGTAGTAGGCACTGCTGCTTGTCCGAAGTCGATGACCGAGTAAACCACATGTCTATGTACCGCGCTCAGGCTGCCAATGAACGTCCAGGAGATCGATGAACGTCAGAAACTCCGCGCGGGTGATCGACAACGAGCTCGGTGACAACTGCTTGGAGGCTGTAAATCTACCTCCCAAAAAGACTGGGACAACTTGGCTGCTCGCGACACGACTGGCCAACCGTTATTCGAAACATTCACCATTGATCCTTACAATGAGCAACGACTTAAGCGAGCCGCTGCTTCTTCCCCGTACTCCATCGGCGATTGGTCCAAGCGGCGTTGGAGCACGCACGTTCAGCTCTTTGGCACGCATGGTGCACCGCTGTACAGGAATCGCACACACATAAGATTCGCTGCGCAAGGAGGTGTCAATCGATGAACATGCAAAGGAGGAGAGGCGTGCGACTCCCCACTCCAAGCACCTCGTAACGACGATCATTGGAGCGGCCAGGTCCAGACATTCGATCTCTCATTTGTCACGTGACTGTACTTGGGCGGTGTCTGTCTGTAGGTGGGTGTGGCACAGCCGGCTTCTAGAACGCGAGCACTGACCATGCAGTCGTATTAAGCTGACAGAGAAAGCCGATCAACGTTTCGAAAAAGTGATTAGGATGAAGACAGCCGTGATACCGGTGCCGAAAAGGCGTGCGGAGTTTCGCGCATCGTAGGTAGGTGGGCCTCCACTCACACGAGCAGTCGATGGCACACGAGCTGCCCAGGAGTACAGACTGCAATCCGATTCCCCCGAACGCGCAAGTCCCGAAATCCGCTGCAGGAAGTGTCTCCGGCGCGTGGAAGACCCCGCCACTCGCCGCCGTTCGCCGCCAAAAAGGATCTGGCGCTCGATCAGATCCGCCCTTCATTGGGCAGTCCGGTATATCGGCCCGGCTCCGGGCCTGGTTTGACTATATCGAGCTGAGGCTTCACCTTGGAAACCAACGGTCTTAGTCAGGCCGGAGCCGTCCCCGCCGCCGCATATCCGGGGCTCTGCGGGCAACCAGACGAGCGGGGCAGCTGAGGGGCATGTGGGAACTCCACACGCCGCGGTGTCCGCTCCGGCGTTGATCAGGACCCGTTCCGGCCCGGCCAGCCGGTTCCTCCAGACAACTTCTGCACTAATAAAAGCAAACTTGACTTTCTTTGACATGGACATTGATACCTCACCACCATGACTGACGTCGAAATCCACCGAACAGACTCAAAGGGAAGCGCACAAGAGCTTGAGAAGCCCCGCATCGAGGAGGAGGAGTTGGCGGCGCTGCCGACTGCCCAGGCCAAGATCGCCCAGCAGAATGCAGCTCTGTACCTCGAAGCCCTCGAGCGTTACGGCGCCGATGGATCTGGCCTCGACCCCGTCGCCGAGAAGAAACTGAAGAGGAAGCTGGACCTTCGCATCATCCCAGCTCTTGCTGTGTGCTACTTCTTCTACGTGAGTCGACCTCGAGGTGCTGGCATCGCATGAGGGTGGCGAAGCTGACACTCCAGTATGTCGACAAGACGACGCTATCCTACGCTGCTATTTACGGGTGAGTCACCTGTTCTCTCGCTTTCGCATGCTTCGCACGCTGCCCACATGCATGCGCACATGACTCTGGTGGGCAGGCAGGTTGTCGCGCGGCATCTCGCGGCTCTAGGCGGGAGGAGACGGGAAGTGGCGGTGCCTCCGAGATGTCGGCGTGGAGCGTGCCTCTGCTCGGTCCTACATCGCTCCGAGCTCAGCCGTCTCTGCCCGCCCATCTCAGCCCCACGGACTCGTACGCTGTTTGTGGCACGAGGGCCTTGCTGACCGCAGAATCAAGGACGACATCAACATGGGCTCCACGGGATACTCGTGGCTCTCGTCAATCTTCTACTTTGGCTGGCTCGCGTGGGCGATCCCCTCGAACCTGATCATGCAGCGCTCTCCTCCCGCGTACTACCTGGCGTTCAACATCTTCTGGTGGGGCGCCCTGCTCATGTGCCAGGCGGCCGCGACCAACTTTGCGGGCCTTGCTGCCCTCCGTGTCCTGTCCGGTGCGATGGAGGCCATCGCCGACCCCGCCTTCATGCTCATCACGTCGCAGTACTACACGCGCTCTGAGCAGCCCTCGCGCATCAGTGCGTGGTACTGTGCGAACGGTATCGGTGTCGCCGGCGGCGGTCTCATCGGCTATGGTATTGGAAACATCAAGGGCGCACTTAACAGCTGGAGGTACGAGTTCCTTATTGTCGGCGCGTTCTGTTCCGCCTGGGCCATCGTGCTCGCGCTCGTGCTGCCCAACTCGCCCGCCAAGTTCAAGGGCTTCAGCCACGAGGAGAAGCTCATGATGATTGCGCGCATCGCCAAGAATCAGACGGGTGTCGAGCAGAGGAAGATCAACTGGAAGCAGGTCCGTGAGGCGTACACCGACTACAAGACGTGGATGTTCGTGAGTTGCAAGCGGCAGAGGATCCCTTGAAGATGGCAGCGCGCTGACTCCGCCGTAGTTCACACTCGGTCTCGTCGCTAACATCCCCAACGGAATCATCAGCAACTTCTCCACGCTCGTTATCAAGGGCCTCGGTTTCGACGAGCTCAAGACCTGTCTGCTCGGCATTCCGCAGGGCGCTCTCGTCGTCATCTGGATTGGTCTCGGAGCGTTCGTCAACGCTCGTCTGCCGAAGAACTCGCGCACGATTGTGTGCATGCTTTTCATGATTCCCACCATCGCGGGAGCGCTGGGCTTCCTCCTCTCTCCCGAGAAGGCCTACGTCGGCCGCCTTATCTGCTTCTACCTGACGGGCAGTTACCAGGCGAGCTTTGTCATCTCGCTCTCGCTCATCACCTCCAACACCGGCGGACAGAGCAAGAAGATGATTGTGTCGGGCATGATCTGGTTCGGCGCGTGTATCGGCAACATTGTCGGCCCCTTCTTCTGCAAAGAGTCTCAGAAGCCGCGATACCCCCTCGGCATTGGCGCACTCCTCGTGGCCAACTGCCTCGAGCTCGCTCTCTTCTTCGTGTTCCGTTACGCTTTCATCATCGAGAACAGGAAGAAGAGGAAACAGCGCGAGGAGGCGCAGGCCAATGGCACGCAGCAGATCGCGGCTGACACGGCGTTCGCCGACATGACGGACAAGGAGAACGTCAAGTGAGTTCATCTGTGAGAATAGCACTGACGCATCAGCTTCGAGTACGTCTACTAAGCATAAGGGCTGTGCGTCGTGGAAGGAAGAGAAGCCTAGATATAATACGTTGTGGGTTCAGAAGCATGCACTAGATTCATATGGGACCGTCGAGACCGTCGACGTGCGTACCACTGAATGGGGTGCGAGCTTCTAGTCAGCCTGCAGTTGCACCCTCCCAAGCGTTGCATTAGGCGAGCCCAGCGACAGTGTGAATGCCCTTGTGTGCCTCAGGCTTCCGGTGCCGCTCGGAAGCACGCAGGAACAACACTCGTCACCTCCGTACACGGCCTTATCACGGTGACTCAGGTCAGGTGACCCGGCTACTGTCGGCATATTCCTGAGGTGCCCACCGAGCGGCAAGGCGCCCGTCGCCTTGTTGTGCGCGGTGTACATTGTTCTTTCTGCGCGTGCGGAGGTGCCAGGGCGTAACCGGGCTTGGCGCGGGCGTCAGTTAGAGCAGTCAGCAGACTTCCTCGTTGCGGGACCGTGGCCGCGGATGATATAACCCCACCCCAACGGACACGTTCCCCTCACTCGTTCTTTCGCCACTTTTCGCCTCTGTTCACCATGGTGACCGAACTCCCTACCCTCCCGACGCACGCAACGAACGCACCTCCGCCCGACGTCGATGCAGAGGCCGTTGCTTCGACCTTTATCTCGCAGCTTTCTTCTGCGGCCGAGGCAGCCCAGGCCGGGGACGGCACAAAGCTGCAAGCGCTTCTTGCCTCGCCGGGCTACTGGCGTGATGTGCTCGCCTTCTCGCGCGACTTCCGCACCTTCCAGGGCGGCGAGGTCGGCCAGGCAGCTGCCGACACCTTCCCGAAAGCACAACCTCACAACTTCCAGATCAAGGCTCCCGCGCCGCTGCTCGAATCACCCTTCCCCGACGTCAGCTGGGTGCGCATGCACTTTGGCTTCGACACCACCGTCGGTCCTTGCTCTGGCATTGCGCGCCTGGTATACGAGCGCGGAGAGTGGAAAGCGTACACTCTCTACACACTTCTCGAGGAAGTTGCCGGCCACCCGCAGCAGGTCGGGCGCAACCGTCCCCGCGGACAGCATAACGCCGCCGAGCCGCACGACGAGCGCCGCGCGCGCGAGGCTGAGTTCGCCGACTCTGACCCTGATGTCCTCGTCGTAGGTGCGGGACACAATGGTTTGGCGTGTGCGGCCGTGCTGCGCTCGTTTGGCGTGAACGCACTGGTGGTGGACCGCTTCTCCCGCGTCGGCGACAACTGGCGCAAACGCTATGCGTCGCTGTCGCTGCACGACCCTGTCTGGACCGACCACATGCCCCTCATGCCGTACCCGCCCAACTGGCCCGTGTGGATGCAGGCAGGCAAGCTTGCAAACTGGCTCGAGGCATACGCCGAGGCACAGGAGTGCAACGTCTGGCTTGAGTCTACCGTCGATCCGTCCCGCACAGTGTGGCTGCCCGAGGAAGGCAAGTGGCAGGTAACCGTGCTGCGCGGACCACAGCGCACCCCTCGCACGATGAAGGTCGGGCACGTCGTTATGGCGACGGGGCTCGGGGGCGGCAAGCCCAAGCTGCCGCCCAAAGTCCCCGGCCAGGATGCCTGGGAAGGCACCATCGTGCACAGTTCCGCCCACGCAGGAGGTCGACAGTGGGCCAGAAAGCGCGCGCTCGTCGTCGGTGCATGCACGAGCGGGCACGACATCAGCGTCGACCTCAGTCACTGTGGCGCCGATACAACCATGCTACAGCGCTCGCCCACATTCATCATGACGATCAAGAACGGACTGCCCCTCCTCGACGGTGGGCTCTTCACGGAGGAGGTGCTCGAGACTCTGTCCATGGATAACGCGGACCGCATTGCCGACTCCCTGCCCAAGCAGGTCGGAAAGCTCTTCCACCAGCGCATCGTTGACCACCTTGCCGAAGCCGACAAGGAGATTCTCGACGGCCTGAAGAAGGCAGGCTTCCGCACTTGGAAGGGGCCGGAGGGTACCGGATGGCTGTTCCGTGAGTTTTGCATAATAAATGACCTGGCTGACGGTCAGTTGCTTATGAGCGCGCCGGTGGATACTACTTCACCGCAGGCGAGAACAGCGGCTCTCAGAAGATCATCAAGGGCGACATCAAAGTGCGCCAGGGAGAGATTGCATCCTTCGGCCCTGGGAAGAAGGTCGTGTTCAAGGACGGCTCGGAAGATGAGTACGACCTCGTCGTGTTCGCCACGGGCTACACCGGGATCCAGGACAGCACACGCGAGGTACTGGGAGACCAGGCTGCCAGTCAAATGGGAAAAGTATGGGGTCTCGACAATGAGCTCGAGGTGAATGGAGTCGCGCGTCCGGCCGGCATCCCTCACGTCTTCTTCACGATCGGTAACTTCATGATGTCTCGTTGGTTCTCACGGCGAATCGCGCTCCAGATCGTGGCCGAAAGGGAGGGAAAGTGGGGAGATGTGTACAAGTCTAAGTAGAAGTCTTATCAGTTGACTCGCATGAGTCAGACGTTCAGAAGTTCCGGGTCAGTACGAGTTCCTATGCAAACACAGGTGAAGTATGAATACTCAGATTTCGTAGGGTGGCGGACGTCTCGGCTTCACCGAATAGGAGACAGAATTTCTGCCGCGGTACAACTCCTAATATCTCGATATGCGGAAGTTGCCTGTCGATCGTCTGCCGATAAGTGCGCGGTCAGGCAGGCGGAGGTGTTCCCGTCTTTCTGACGGCGCTATCGAAGATCCCCTTGCGCCTTACAAAGTTGCAATGTCTGACTTGCATGTACAGCTTGTGGGCGCGGTCTTTGCGATTGATCTCCATGCCCGACCAGCTATAGTGACTACACATGTCTTTATGCTGAGCCCAGCTTCGAGATACTCGTTCCGTATCGCGTTCCCCAGTAGGCCATTCGGCCGTCGGGCTAGGGTGGCGTTTCACAAAGTTTCAGGAATCACGCGGGCCATGCGCGGAAGGGACGATCAAGGTTTTGGACTGACTCTTCCGCCACCATGTCAGCAGCCCGTCCGTGTTAGGCTCCTCTAAGTCACCGCTTGGGCCCGTAGCGGATAGGTCACTGATGAAGAGGCTGCAGGTGCAAATTTGTCCGGGCTCAGTTACTGCTGGCTTGTAAGGAGGTGATCGTTGCAACGAGGGTGGCACCCGGTGGCACCCTGCCTCCCATCCAGAGTGACCGACCTCGGAGAGCACGAGCAAGGTGCAACGAGCAACACACTGCACTTCTACTCCACTATGACGACCCCGGAGTGGGAGGAGTGCTTGAGTACGTTACGTAGTTATGCAGAGCGCATAGTGGACGAATGCGGAAGCATGCTGTCGAGCTGCGCTGACACCCGTTACGCTTGGATCCTTACGAGAATCTGGAGGCACTGCGGTATGCTTGACTCAAACTAACTTCGAAGCTGCTGCGTGATAACAGTAAGCTCAAGAGTGCGCAGGCCTCAGATAAGAAAGCTTCTGCAACAGAGATTGTTGGCTCTAGAGCGCTGATGGCATGCGGTGAAAAGTCTATCTAAATGTCCATCATATGAAATGAGTGTCGTACAGCCTGTACTCTAATTATACTCGATAATGTCCGTCTATGGGGTGCGCGACCAGGCGCCAGTGCCGGGGTGTGCTTAAGCAAAGCACTTGCCGCCGATGCACTGGGCGTTGGGGCCGAGGGTGGCAGTGCAGTCGACGCCGACAGTGGCGTTGCCCTGGGGGCGGAACGAGCCGTGGAGGCATCCACCGCAGCGCTGAGCCTCGTTCTGGGTGTCGGTGCACTCGAAGTGGGTCTGGTCCTCGGCGGAGATGTAGCAGTTCTCCCAGCCGAGCTGGTTGCAGGTGGCGGCAGACTCCTCGTAGGCGACGGCGGGGTCGATGGTCTCACGCTTGCGGAGGCCGGAGGGGGCGGGGCCACCGGTGCCAGTCGTGTAGATGTAGAAGGTGTTCTGGTCGCAGCCGCCGATGCCGGAAGCCTGGGTAGGCTCGCTGAAGCAGTTCCAAGACGAGCAGATACCGATGTTCGAGGGGTGGGTGACCATGTACTGAGAGCCAGAGCAGCCGCGGCGGAAGACGTCGCAGATGAACCACTCCTTGAAGATGAGCTTGTCACGGACCGAGGAGAACTGGGCGTTGCGAGTCGAGAGACCCTGGGCGCAACCCTTGAACTGGTACTTGGTGCGGAGCATACGGACGTCCCAGTAGGCACCGGGGCACTGGTTCGGGAGGCCGTGAGCATAGCCGTCCTTCTTGATGTTGATGAAGATGTAAGCCTGGGGAGACGAGATCGAGCAGCGGCACTGGCCACCACGGAAGTACGAGAAGCCCTTGCCCTTGGACTGCATGCAGAGGTCGGCGCACTCGTCACCGTTCAGAGCCTGGAACTTCTTGCCGAAGTGGGTACCCCAGGTCGAGCAGTCGTTGTAGCAACCGATGAAAGCCTGGTTGTTGCCATCGCTGGGGAGCAGAGTACGCTTCTGGAGGCTGTTGGCGGCCTCAGTGGCGGGGAGGAAGGCCGCGAGGGCGGTGATGAAGAGGGATCCGAGCAGCATTTTGAGCTGTGCGGGAGATTACAGGAGGGAGGGAGGAGAAGAGAGTGTAGAGGGTTGGGCTGAGGAACATCGGCAGCCTCAGCCTCTTCTTTTATAACATGCACTCGCCCTCCTCGACCGGAAGACCAGCCTTGCATTGCGTCTGTGCCGATAGTCACCGACACCGCGCAGACCCGTGTCCCGACGGCAGGTCTGCTGCAACTCGGAATGCCGCCAGACATCCCTAGGACCGTGACTAGGATATCCAGCGGATCAGCGGGCAGCGGTAGGGAGCGGAAGGTGCTGAAACCGCGAGCGAGTGCTTGGCGTGCAGGTCGAGCGTTGCGCTGATTCGCTCTCAGAGGTCGTCTACGGGCAGCGGTGCGCACCAGCAGGCCTTAGGGCTGCTAGTGGCTTGCATGACTGCCGTGGTCACGATTTCGGCCTCGTCGAGTGTCCTGCGGGTGGACGCAGGTGCCGATGCCGTATGACGCTCCCGCGCACCTGCTCCAGGGTCGGACGATCCTGAAGCTCTTATCGCAATTCAACAGCGAGGCTGACCATCCTCAAGCAATTCAGGCGAGCAGAAACATGCTTGCCCGGCGACCCTGTACGGTATGCAGCATCTTGTGCTTGGCCAACCAGCATGCTGACTAGTGGACACCCTGAAGATGGAGACGAGCGCGTCGCGTCTAGCACTCCTGGAGGGATGCTCCCCGGCATGACGTACCCCAGCTCAGCGCACGCTGTCTCACCGCGGTATCGGGAGTCGGAGCACTAGCGCACACACGGTGCACGGCCGCCGGATCAGCTGGCCTCGGTGGGCAGACACCTGCTCAGCCCATGCCGGCAGAGCGCACACGCCTGCCCGTTCCTACAACCTCACTTAAACGGCAACAAGCATAACATGCCGAACGTTCGTACTCTCCTGCCTAGCGTTGACTCGCATGGGGGGTTCTTGGGCGAGCATGCTTGCTAACACTGAGTAGGCAATGATCTGCAGCGGGAGGCTCACGTCCGTCCCTCTATCGGTCATGAACCGGAACTCTAATGCACCGCTCGTTCGCCGGGAGCATCAGTAGACTAAAACTTTAACATGCCGGCTGGGTGCGGCCGAACTCTATGCGCTCCCCACAAAAGAGCCATGCAGAGCAGTCTTTGAGACAGCTAGTGGTCAATAGAGTTCACGCTGACAGCATACCAGTAGCCCGCTGTGCCCGGTAATGGCCCGCAAGCATCGGCAACTTGGCCCCTTCGGCGGAGACACGGACGGCAGTCAGAGACAAGGTTCCGGACAAGTATGGAAACAACTCCGTTTGACTTAAACGTCCTGGCTGCCGTAAGACCCTCGTCGGCCACTCTGTCTGTCGCCACCCCGAAAGTGCAGCACTCCCGCAAGCCAGCTGTGTGAGATGCTCACCCCTTGGGACTGTGACGTGAAGTGATGTGCGTATGCGTGCGGCATGCGGCGAGGGACGGAAGGGTCGCAGACAGGCGTCAGTCCCTCATGTCCACTCAGGTCCTCCCCAGGGCTCCGGAAGAATGTTAGTTCCTGGGCTGACGTTTGAGGATGGATGAGCACAAATCAGAGAACACATCTCCGTCTATCCGCTCTCATAGTCTCTCCTCAGGTTCGAGCTGCCGCCTCAAGAGGGCTGCCGTTCCAGTTGCAGTCGGGGGACTGCTGGAAACAGCGTCGCAATACAAGGTTCTGCCTAGTCTGTATTCGACGCATCCGACAATTCAGGTGCTGCAACCCGGGTCATCGCTGATCCTTTGCTTGCCTGTGCCAAGCGAAATCCGCACACGTTTGGAATGTTCGGGCAGCCGCGATCGTGCTTCGGGCGCCGAAGAAGACCATGGGGCTCTGTGATCGCTGTTGCAGGCAGCGGACCAACACACGGGAACCACGACGTCACGCGCGCATGTTGACGGCTCTATAGTGTTCTCTGCCTCCATTCGGCCATCTCACAAGGCTGATGCATACCTCGTGTGCCTCGCCACGCTCATCTCGGCATGCCTCGCATTGGGTGAGCGTTCCGGCTCTCCGCCTGGATACCAGGGCTCTCTGAACTCCCAACCCCCGACCTAGGCGACAACCGTGCAAACAAGCAGGATAACTGGATATCCATCAGACATCAAGACTATTACTTTACTCGTCCTTGCGGGTCCTGCGCCTGTTGGAGCGGCGGGGCGTCTGGACGTCGACATCTGCCTCGCGGATCTCCGTGACCACCGTGTCCTCTGCGATCTCGCCCAGAGACTCCGGGGTCTCGCGCCCAATGCCGAGGAGGTAGAGCATGCTGTCGTCGTTAGCTTAACCGTCTTAAGCGTGCGCGTGGGCTGCTTGTCTGCTGGAAACTGCGTGCTGGTCTCAGTCGGGCTGAGCTTGGGTCGAGCTTGACTCAAGCTAGTCAAGCTTGAGCTTGGGATATCGCCGCGCCGGACGCCCGGATGAGACGAGCGGGGAGCCACCGCCTCGCCTGCCATCCACGCGGCTGTAGGCGGAAGGGGACCGCAGAACCTTGTCGCACTCCCTCTGCCGGAAACTCCGGGACATGCGTACGGCATCACCGGCCGCGCACCGGCATGGCCTTCAACCTTCATACTGCCCGGCACCCGTCCCCCCAACAGATGGCCAAGGTGACCAAGGCGACCATTCCAGCAAACTCTGAGTGACTCACCGCATGGTGAACAGCATCGCCGTGATCGAGGCGTTGCCGTGCATGAGCTGGGTCCAGCGGTCGGGGTGCGTGACCAGTCCACCGGGGAGGGGCCACAGAGTAAGGAAGATGCTGTTGTGAGTTGACTGCTCTTATAACGGCTACTGCGAACAAGCTGCTCACTGGGTCAGATCAGCCACAGCAAGCGGGATGAGCAGGCCCTTCACGAGCCGCTCCTGCAGCGCGGGCGCCTGCTGCTTGAAGATCGGGAAGAGGGAGAGCGAGATGAGCGCGAGGACGAGGAAGCCTGGGGTCAGCTATGTCTATTCGACTGCGTAGCGGAGGGATCACGCTTATTTAAAGGCTCTTGACTTGGATAGGTTTGCCATGTTTTACGGCCCGAAGAAGATCAACCCCATGAGAGTGGCTAGGCCATCTTCATCGACTCGACAGTGTCGATCAGTCTGCTCCTTACGCCGGCCTAGTGGACACGGCGCAGGCTCTCACTCAGAGGCAGCAGAGGCAGCCTGACTCCTCTCACCACCCACCTGCTCCTCTCACGATCACCACTCCCTACTGACATCAACTCAAGGACACTTACATGATCCCAGACATCCAACAAGCATCTGCCCACGCAGCGTGCCGCCAATGTGGGAAGTGAACGGCTCCTCGCTCGTCGGCAGGAGGTCGGCCGCATACGCCTTGGGCCGGAAGATGGCGTACGCTGCGCCCGCGAGCGCGAGGATCTGTCCGTCAGCTTGCCCTTCCTCCACTTGTCTCTTGTCAATAAGCTAATCCACTTCACTGCAGCGTGAGTCTTCCCAGCATCATTGCAGGACGTCGGCGCTGCTGCAACGCGAATCCAGGCAAAGCTCAAGCTCAAGCCGCATCCCGAGATCATGGATGGCAAGGAAGAGAGCTCCCGGAGACCAGCTCTCCTCCGTCCGTCACCTTCCAATATGGGATATGGACATTCGAAACCGCCACACTCGGCTCTCCTCCCCAGGAAGCGTTGACTCACAGGCTCGACTAGCCAGAAGAAGTAGAAGTAAACCGCGGGCAGGCAGTCGGTATCACCCAGAGCCATCTTTGCTTAATTTGTTTCTCTGCTTGTTGTCGATGTGGATGTGTAGAGAAGTGTTGAGAAGGTCGCGGTGAGAACTTGGCCGATGGATCACCGAGGTATAGTATTATACTCTTTCTGGATTTGTTTGCGTCGTCCGTCCTCTCCGAGCTCTTCTGCCCGGTTGCCCAACGACGACGGTGACGTCGCGATGAGACCCGAGCAAGTGCCTGGGAACTTGGACACCGATCACGTGCAGGCCTCTCCTAGCTACCAGCATCTTACGTAATTGAACAGAGGGAAGGCACGTGGGCTACACGTCCCCTTTGCCCCGCATCGTGATGTGGTCCTCTTGCTCCGTAAAATGCCAATTGATTGGTCGTGTGCGCGCACAGATGGTCATCATTTCGAAGGACAGTACGGCACGGATGCCTGATGATTTCGAACGGAGCGGGAAGCTGAAGAGCAGTGGCTTTTCGAATGTATGCACGGACGTTCTGACCGGAGTGCACCGCGCCACGGGAGGAGCACGTATGCTCGACCAGTCGAGCACGGGCGGCCAGCCATCAGCGACCAATTCCATCCTCCTCTGTGTGTCAGAACCAAACAATGCTTGATTTCAGAATCTCAACGACTGCTCCAGGCTCCAGATGGCCAGATGGATGGCATGTTGTAATCGCATAGCGAACTTGATCCACCGCCCCGATGAAAAGCCCTGCTCGGTGCAATTTTCCGCCAACGGCCGAGTCGCAGATGAAAGAAAGAATCAAGGACGCCACACAGCCACCCTTTTCGTCAAGCTTGGTGGCGTCGCTGCCATGACCGGCACATCTCGGCATCGCCGTGGGCAGCTCAGCCTCTCTGCAGTAGACAGCACCGTGCATGCAGGACATTGCTGAGGCCTTGGTCTCGCTCTGCACCCCGCCGTCAGCTCTCCGGCACCACCTTCAGCGACATCCAACAAGAAGCCGCCAACGATGCCATTGCCACCGAATGCTCGCCCCGTGCGCCCCGCGCCCTGTCCCCCGCACTTGTGCGCGCGTGTCTCGGCCACCTCCGGCGATCATGCACGGTGCGCCCCCGATCTCCCCTTGGCCCTTTGGTCATGATTTCGAATCGGCCCTCAGGCATTCGAGTCAGCGCTTCCTTTCGTCAGTCTGGTCAGTGTCGATGTCCAACTTTGTCAGTTCCTCTACGCAGAACCGTGCCTATTGCAGCGCTTGCTTCTGGGCTCGACACTAGGTCGGAGGAAGGTTCGCTGGTCGCCGCAGGGACTTAAGAGTAGTGGCCGGCGCAGGCTCCGAGCCGACCGGGAGTGGCGAGTCTATTATGGAAACAGTGCATGACAGTTGCGTGTAAGCTTTTGTACAAGGGCCGGTGGTGCTGGCCGGGTTCGTAAAGATATTGACACAGTTGGAGTGTAAAAGAGCAAGGCGAAGGGAGCTTGATGCGATGAGAGAATAACAAGGTGAAGGTTTCGTGTCGTCCGTCACACGACCAGGGGTAGTGATGTGTGGTGGGGCTGGCACAAATTTGCAGTGGGTTTTGGAAGATGTCTCGGCGTTCGACACGTCGAGCTCGAGCACGAGACCGGCTCATGATTAGGTGAAGAGGCGCGCGGCCTTGCCTCCCAGCGAGGAGCGGTAGGCGTCCACGGCGGCGGGGGCGGTCATGTCAGGCTGCTTGGCGGCGCGGGAGATCTTGCGCAGCTCAGCGAGCGCGGCCTCGGGAGTCAGGTCGTCGCCCTCGCTTGGCGGAGGGAGCGTCGCCTTGAGCAGCTCTTCGAGGTGGGAGTCCTCGTCGTTCTCGGGGAGACTGGCAGCAGCGGCGGCGACGGGGTGGGTGCGGCACAGCTTGCCGGGAGGCATGCAGAGGGCACGCGCTCCGAGGGGGGTCGCGGGGGTCACCGCGTTGACATGACGGTGAAGGCTGGCGGTGCGGGTGTGACGAATGAGACGAGCAGTTCCGAGGGGCATTCTCTTGTTGGCTGTGGTAGATGTCGCGGTTATTTTGAGTGGTGAGTGATGGATGGATGCGCGAGTTGTGGTGTGATGGAGGAAGCAGAGAAAATGGTCGTCAAGATGATGCCCACTGTCTTTTGCTTTGGAGGCGTCGCACTTGGCCGGCGTTCAGAGCGGTGGTGGGTTGTGCATGCGAGATTTTTCGGTGCGGGGCCCGAGAGTCGAAAACCGGGGAAGCGTGTCATCGGCGGGGCAGGTAGGCAGTTATCGGCTTTGTGATTGGCTGCCTGAGCTCCACCGTCGTCTATCCTGCATTTTCCTCGGCAAACACCCGCTGAACGCCGCAGCACCCCTGTCCACCGTGGGAGCTTGTCCTCCACTTTTCCGTCTTGCCCAGCAAACGTCCGTCCACGGATCGGTCCCCCTCTTGCACGTGACTTGATGCAGCCGAACACCAACCATGACGTGGGATGACCTGTGGCCATCAGGAGACCGATGGCCGCCACTCCTGGCCCCGCAACCTCCGCATCTCTTATACTCTTCTTGCTCGCGTCCCCCTCACAGCGTGACATCACACACGGCAACGTCGATCGTTACGTGACTTATCCTTTCGGACCCGACTCTTCTGTCTGTGGCGATGTGTCTCTGAATGCTGCAGCGGGTGAAATGACCCCACTCCTGAGCGTGTTCTGTGGAATGCCTCTCTCGTTCCGAACGAACGCTCGGGAGACCCGGCCAACACACCGGTCCAAGACCGGGGCAACGTGGCACCGTGCCATTCTATCTACTAATCAATCGCACAGCTATTGACACCCCCCACTCGATCGTTACCGACAGCCGGTGTCTGCTGCCCCGATACGGCTCTTCATCGCTCCTGCGTCCGGGTCCGAGATCGTTTCCTTCCCGCTCAGCTGACCATCACCAGCACCTGAAGTACTCATATCTCTGTCACATCAGGCGTCACGTTTGCGCTTCTATCTCGGTTGTAATCCTGTGCAGAAGGTCTTGGCATCGGAGCGTCTGGCGCATATATAAGTGGCTGTCTCGGATTGAGTGATATCGCAAGTCTGTCTGCAGCACGGTGAACTAACCATGCGTCTCCTCCTTACACTTATCTCGACCCTTTTCCTCCTTCTTGGAGCCCACGCCGTCCGCTTCCAGTGGCCCTCGGGGCCAGAGAATGGCGGCTATCTCGGAGTACCTCACGGCGGATGCTGCACCAACGCCCAGAATGGCACTCAGGTCTATGCGTGAGTACAAATGTGAGCAAAGCTGACCACAGCACCGGGCCAGACTCGCGCTACACGGATCGATACATCACCAGCGCATGGCGCATTGAGGGCGAACACATCCGCATGGCGGGACACGGCGAGCTCTGCCTGGATGCCGGATGGGGTGAGTTTCCAATTGTGTCCCTGTTGTTCCTTTTCTTCCGGGCATGAATGGTGATTGACGCCGCCCAGACGCGGGATACGGCACGACCCTCAAGATTTGGAAATGCTTCGACAACCACGCTCCCCAGCGCTTCAAGTACGAGAACGAGCGCATCATCCACATCCCGACTGGTTTCTGCATCGACGTCCAGGACGGCAACCGCCAGAACCTCCAGCTCTGGGAGTGCTTTGACGGGAACACCAACCAGAGGTGGCGTGCCATCTGGCCTCCGACACAGAGCGCTGCCAGCACTTGAGCCCAGCGCCTGAGTACGCGAGAGTTTTCCAGCGTCGCTCGAGGACATGAGGCTGGTATATACGACAGTGGACACTTAAACAACGAAATCCTGGTATATAATATGCAACAGACATTGTTTCGCGCGTGGATGACATTAGTCGGTGAGACGCCTTTGACAGGTTGGGATGGCCGTGGGGCCAGTTGAATGTTTCCAGCATCGCCTCCCCAAGCCCCAGAAGGAACTCGGTCGTACCAACGTTGCTCTTGCGCTCACTGATATCGAGAGGAGCGGATCGACCAGGGTGGAGGCGGACCACTTTGGTTCCGCCCATCGGATGAACATCCCAGGTCCCAACCTCGCCACCTTCACATTCAACCTATGTCGTCCTCGTTGCCCGTTCTCGCTGACATGGGGGCTTTCAAGTAATCGAGACCGCTGCCTCTACCCGTTAATTGGCCGCTGGAAGGCGTCTACCGCAACGAGAAGCGCACGCTAGCCGCAGATAAGCATCGGGACACGCGAGGCAGCATATGAGCCCATAACGTGAGTGGCCAACGCGATGACGCCTTCCGCCGCTGGCGTCAACTCATCCATGGCGAATATCACCCCAGGCACACATCATCCATCCTCCCATCCAGTGCAGCTGACTCACTACATCGCGACGGGTGTGCCGATGCTGCGTCGACCATCGGCGGCATGTACTCGGCACGCATGCGCTCGGCACGCGTGCGCACCAAGCGCGCTCGATCACGCACCGTCTTAGGCCGTCTGCATTGGCAACACTGCTGCGTTAGCCTTGACGGTCGGAGGAACTCTTGATACTCATAAGCGCGAGCATAGCAAAGAACTGATGACCCCCACTAACTGTCGACACTATGACCCGCACCATTCGCACAGTCATCATTGGCGGTGGCCTGTCCGGCATCACGCAGGCGATCCGTCTGAAGAAGGAGCTCGGCGACCGCGTCCAGATCACTGTGAGCTGCAATCCCGTGATCTCGCTGACTCCAGATCCTCGAGAAGAAGGGCTCCCCCGGTGGCGTATGGCGCGACTCGATTTGGCCCGAGGCGGGTGTCGATGTTCCGATCCACCTGTACACGCTCGAGACGGACCTCGAGACCGACTGGCGCGAGTACTTTGCCTTCCAGCCCGATGTGCTCGCGTACTGGCTCCGCCTCGTGGACAAGTACGAGCTGCGCGACTCCTTCGTCTTCAACTCGGAGTACGTCGGGTCGCACTGGGACGAGCGCACGCAGACCCACAGCGTCACCATCCGCAACACGAAGACCAAGGCGCAGACCGATATCACGACCGAGGTGCTCATCTCGGCCACTGGTCCGCTCGCGAAGCGCAAGTTCCCGAACGTCCCGGGGCTCAAGGACTTCAAGGGCGCGTGGTTCCACAACCTCGACTGGGACGGCAGTGTCAAGCTTGAGGGCAGGCGCATCGCCGTCGTCGGCAACGGATCCTCTGGTGTTCAGATTGTGCCCGGCCTCGCCAAGCTCCCCGGCACGCAGGTCACGCACTACATCCGCTCGGGAGGCTACTTCATTCCCAAGATCCAGCGCGAGTACACACCCTGGGAGCGCTTCGCGTTCCAGTGGATCCCCGGCTACCTACGCTGGCACCGCTTCGGCATTCTCCAGGAGGTAAGCTGCGCTGCTCTCTGGACTCAGATTAGCTGACCCCCAGCACGACCGTCACTGGTCGATCAAGTTCAGTGGTGACAACAAGCAGCGCGAGCAGGACGAGCGCGAGCTGCTCGCATACCTCCGCGCCAAGGCGCCGGCCAAGTATCTCGACGCGCTGACCCCGACATGGCGTGAGTTTGACTGCTTCGAGGCTCTCCTAACTCTCAGCTCTCGGCACGAAGCGACCCCCGCTCGACCTCGGCTGGCTCGACAGTCTGCACTGGGACAACGTCGAGCTCGTTAACGGCGCGCTCGAGTCCGTCGACGCGACTGGCATCACTGTGAACGGCCAGCACCGCGACCACGACATCATAGTCTACGCGACAGGAAGCGACATTGGCGCACACGGCCTCGGCGCCAACACCCGTCTCTTTGGCGAGGGCAACCTCGAGCTGGAGCAGTACTGGACCTCGATCGGCGGTCCGCAGGCATACGCCGGCATCGCCGTGCCGCGGTTCCCGAACTACTTCACGATCATTGGTCCCAACTCGGTCGCCGGAAGCTGGGGATACACCGCACTCCGCGAGACGGCCGCTGTCGCCCGCATCGTCCGCGAGATCCTCGATTACAACCTCAGCAGTGTGCAGCCGAAACAGGCTGTGTTTGAGCACGAGAGCGAGGAGATCCAGAAGGAGCTCAACAAGGCGGTGAGTTGGCCGAGCCGGACGCCGGCGAGGCGGTATAGACCCAAAGCTACCATTGCTCCTGATATATAGCTGACATCAGACCATTGCCGTTGCCGGCGTAGACAACTACTGGCGTTCCCCGGGTGGCCGCATCACCGTCAACTCGCCTCTGTCGGGCATCGGGCTGTGGTGGCGGACACAGCGCACGCGCTGGGGCGACTGGGACGCCGTGCGCCTCGTGAAGGGCTCTGACGGCAAGACACGTCTGCAGCACGTCGACGTCCTGGCCATCAAGCGCCGGCGGGCAGCCGTCAAGGCGCTCCTCGTTGCCGCGCTGGGCGCGACGCTGTACAAGCGATGGGATGCGGTCGTCGCCGCCTTCCAGTGGGCCGTGAAGGAGACGGGTGCGGACAAGCTGCTGCAACATATTCGCGCTTAGATAGAAGGGGCCAACGAGTTGTATCTGATATGAACATGGAATGGAAGGCATGTTCAGTTATTGGTGCACTGACATGGCGCATTCCTTCCTCCCTCCCTTTGAAGGTTGCAAGGATCTCGCAGTCTTCGACAATACGAGCGCTTAGTTCTACTGTCAGTTCTACCGCTTGTTCTGCCGGACGTTCCGAGCCACGTTGAGCAACAAGTAGCAATGCATTGCACCATCTATTCCTAGCGGACTGTCCTATCGCCTTGCTCGCCGGGGACGCCGGATCATGCCACTGTCCCTTGTTACATGGGTGGCTTGAACAAAATTTCGGACCGGCTCCTAGGCACTCCTCATCGCGTGGTCTCCCCAGACCATTGCCCAGGCACATAGCCATTTGCGGGCATCACATGACTTGGGTCGGGCATGACGCCGGGCGCTTACCGCCATCGGTCAAGTGCGAGGCCGCGCGGTACGAGTCTGTCGCGGCACATGAGCACATGAACGCGCGCGGCCTGCACTGACATAACATCTGTGACACGACAACCACAAAACTGATTGCACGACTTAACACCTCGTGCTACCTTCTCTTCATCCACCATTCTCCCAACTACTCGACGTCTCGCGATGGCTGCCCTCGACGCTCGCGCGAGGCTCGCTGCTCTCCGCGAGCTCATGCGCGAGCGCAACATCGGTGTATAGTGAGCTCCTTCGTCTGTGTACAACGAGCTGACGACAGCGTTGTCCCCTCTGAAGATGCCCGTGAGCTTCCATCGCGGGCTCCAGCTGACCCCAGACGCCTCCGAGTACCTTGCGCCCTGCGACGCCCGCCGTGCATACCTGACCGGCTTCACTGGCTCCGCCGGCTGCGCTGTCGTCACCCAGACCGAGGCGCTGTGCTGGACTGACGGACGATACTTTCTCCAGGCCGGCAAGGAGCTCGGCGACGAGTGAGCTGACCGGCGCTTGAAGAAGAGCTAACGTGCAGCTGGACTCTGATGAAGCAGGGTATGCCCGACGTGCCGTCCTGGAGCGCTTGGCTGAAGGAGCTCGGCCCCACGACCCGCGTCGGTATCGACCCTCACGTCCTTTCGGCGGCGGACGCGAAGCCCCTGTCCGAGGCGCTGGCCAAGGACCCGACCCGCTCCCTTGTTCCCGTGAACGAGAACCTCGTCGATCTCGTCTGGGGCCAGGGCCGCCCCCCCCGCCCATCCAACCCCATCTTCCGCCTTGGGGACGAGTACGCCGGCGAGAGCGTCGGCTCGAAGCTGTCCAAGCTCCGCGAGAACCTCACCAAGACTGGCTCCCCCGGCACCGTCATCACGAACCTGGACGAGGTCGCTTGGCTCTTCAACCTCCGCGGCAGCGACATTCCTTACAACCCCGTCTTCTTCGCCTATGCGATTGTGACGCGCGACGACGCCACGCTCTACGTCAACCCCGCCTCGGTGCCGCAGGACGTGCGCGACTACCTGTCGCAGAACAACGTCGCCGTGCTCGAGTACGACAAGGTGTGGCCCGCGCTTGCGTCCTGGCGGCGCCTGATTGAGGAGCAGAAGGCGGCCGAGAAGGCCAAGGCCGAGGCCGAGGCCGCCGCCGACCAGGAGCGCAAGGACAAGCTCCCGACGCCCGAGCCGCCCAAGCCCGAGCCCGCCGCTAACGGCGCCGGACCCAAGGAGAAGGTCCAGAAGACGGACAAGGTGCTGATCGGGCGCAAGACGAGCTGGGCCGTCGCCAACGCCCTCGGCGACGAGAACGTCGAGGCCCGCCGATCCTGGGTCGAGGACGCCAAGGCGCGCAAGAATGCAGTCGAGATTGAGGGATTCCGCCGCTCTCACATTCGCGATGGTGCCGCGCTCGTGCGCTACTTTGCCTGGCTCGAGGAGGCGCTCGGCAAGGGCGAGAAGATCAACGAGTTTGACGCCGCAACGCAGCTGGAGAAGTTCCGCGGCGAGAACAAGCTCTTCAAGGGCCTGTCGTTCGACACTATCTCGTCTACTGGTGCCAACGCCGCCATCATCCACTACAAGCCCGACGAGGAGAACAGCGCTGTCATCGATGTCAACCAGGTCTACCTCTGCGACTCGGGCGGCCAGTACATGGACGGCACGACGGACGTCACGCGCACTCTGGTGAGCTAGCATGTTACGATCTAGCTAACAGCAGCACTTTGGCACCCCGACCGCCGAGGAGAAGCGCGCCTTCACCCGAGTCGTGAGTTGCCTCTTCTAGATCGATAACTGACGCCGCAGCTCCAGGGCCACATCGGTATGCTTTCATGTTCTTTTCAAGCTGACCCCAGGCCTCGACGAGATGGTCTTCCCGGCCGGCACGACGGGCTACGTCCTCGACACTGTCGCGCGCCGTGCACTCTGGAAGGACGGCCTGGACTACCGGTGAGCTGATTTTGCGCACGACTCAAGCTGACCCCAGCCACGGCACCGGACACGGCGTTGGCCACTTCCTGAACGTGCACGAGGGTCCGCAGGGTATTGGTCCCCGCGTGGCGTACAATGCCATCGGGCTGCAGGAGGGCATGGTGCTCTCGAACGAGCCGGGCTACTATGAGGACGGCAAGTTTGGTATCCGCATCGAGTCGGTCGTGTGCGTCAAGAATGCCCCGACGCCGAACAACTTTGGCGGCAAGGGATACCTCGAGTTTGAGAACTTCACCATGTGCCCGATCCAGACCAAGATGATCGACCTCCGCCTCCTGTCGCAGGACGAGAAGGACTGGCTCAACAAGTACCACCAGGAGGTGCTTGCCAAGGTCAAGCCCGAGCTCGAGGCGCTCGGCGACCAGCGCGCCATCGCGTACCTCGAGCGCGAGTGCGAGGTCATCTAGGCAGGTTGACGAGAGTGATTGTTTGCAGAGTAGTCTGACGCCGTCGAGTGCGCAGACGAGATATGTTTGGTCCGCATAATCGTGTTATGTATCGTTCCTCTGACGTTCATTCCTTGCATACAAGACCGCACGCAATTGGTGGAAGGGCCGATCGAATGAGTTGGAGGGTGGGTGGGTGTGTACCTGTGTGTGCCTGGGGCTGTGCCTTGTCTTGGCAACAAGGCTTCCGCGCAGCATTCCACCAGAGGAGGATGATGACAAGAGACGAGGGGGTTGCCGCGAAAGCTCGGCGTCATTGGTCTCGGCAACCTAACTGGATGAATGTCTGGCAGAACTGGGCACCGCGTGCCCAGCTGCCCAGGCGACGCCAGTGGCTCGCAAAGAGCCCGCGATGCCCCGCTGGGATCCGGGTTGGCGCTACGGTTTGGCGCAAGAGACCGAGGCAGCCACCTCCGCCAAGTTCGCCAAGACCAATTTGAGCACCGCGCGTCAACCAACTGCACACCAGCAAATGCGCAGGCCATCGCGAGATCGCGCGTGCCCCTCTCAGACGTGCGAGCAATACCAAGACAATGCGGAAACACCTGCCTCCTCTCCACCGTGGGGTCCTCCTGTCTTCCCCGGAGTATATAATCGGCATTCAACCTCTGATGCTCCCAGCAACCTACCTCCTTTCCTCTTCTACTCACATTCATTGATACCAACTCCGGTCTGATGCTGCTCTCGACGTCTCTCTCGTTCGCCGTGCTCTCGGCCCTCGCCTCCGCCCAGAAGGCGGGCGACAAGCAGCCGACGCTCAAGTTCAACCGCGACCTGTCCCCGCACGACGCCCAGATCCGCCTCGGCCCGCAGCCCGAGGCCTGGACTGCATCGGGCAGCGGCGACGACACGGTGTACAACACGGACTCGTCCTGGGGCCAGATGACAGTGAACCTCAAGTTCATCGGCGACGCGATCACGATCCACGGCAAGTCGGACAAGTACTGGACGCAGAGCGGCGGGGACTGGAAGTCCATTCTCTACGTCACGGGCACGGGCGGGCAGTTCCCGACCGACGGCAAGATCCTCGAGCAGCCGCTGTCCAGCACGGACATTGCCGAGTTCAAGAGCAACGACACGCGCGAGATTGACGTCTCCCTCGTCCTCGGCCAGAGCGACTGGACCATCAGCGGCGTCACTGTGGGCACTGGCTTTGTCTCGGATGCCAAGAGCAAGGACGACGCACGCAAGACCGAGGTCGACTTTTTAGAGGACGGCAAGGTCAACCCCGTCCTCGGCACGGAGGGCACGTGGGAGGCCTCCGGCGAGTACGCAGTGTGCAAGGACAAGTCCAAGTTCCGCACGAGCATCCCCAAGGGCGTCGCCTACGTCGAGCTCGAGGGTGCGCGCGGCCCCGAGTCCAAGGAGTTCCAGCTCCACATCTTTGCCGACGACGGCGAGCAGATCTGGGAGACGATCGCGACCGAGTTCCCCACTGCGACCGAGTCGCTCTTCTTCTTCTCTCCCCTTGACCCCGCCAAGAAGTGGACCCTCGAGGTTGACTGCATCGGCCCCAACATTCCCAGCGGACAGAACCAGTTCGACAAGATCACCTACTACTACGAGAAGACTGCAGCGCCCGCCGACGAGGAGAAGCCCGCTGCTGGTGCTGGCTCTGCGGACGCCGGAGACAAGGACAAGGCTGCCGCCTCGTCTACCGGTGGAGCTTCCGCTTCCGCCGGACAGTCCTCCTCTGCCGCCGCTGCTCCCGCCGCCAGCCAGACCGCCGGCGCCGCCTCCACTGGCTCTTTTGCCGGCCTTTTCGCCCTCGGTGCCGCCGCCGCCGCCTACGCCGCCGCCTACCTCGCTCTCTGAGCGAACTCTTGGTTCCTTCCATTTTACTTTTCGATACCCTTTTCTCCTAGGTTCCCGGACACTGAAGTAATACCTCACATCCCTCACTCATTCATAGTCGTCGTCGAGCAGCCGCACGTTGTTTGTTCCCCCATTGTTGCAGTAGAGTTTCTTCATATGCAGGCAGCCATCATTCGCAGAACAAGCCCAGCGTCAACAAAGCCCGGTTGCTTGGCTGGGCACCCCGTCCCATGTGATCTCCAAGCGTTGCCGAGTGTTCCAAGCGTTGCCTAGCCCAACTCTCGCGGGTTGCTGGATGTCTTCTCACACCAGCCCGGCGTTCCCAGCTTGGCATGGCCAAGACCACTAGCCACCAGCGGATGCCAAGCAGGGCCGGGGTGGCCAGATTCAGGAACCACTCCACACGCCCCCACTTGGGTGATCTGACAGCACGTGGTGAAAAGGGGAGGCCGTAATAAGGTTGGTTCAAATTCACGCTCTGAGAACGTCAAGGCAACAACAATTTCAAAAGTGGAGGTCGTCCTCTACTCCGCCTCACACTCACACAGCAATGTCCCGCGCCTCCTCACACGACTCGCGGACACCGAGCGCCGCCCCGTCGCGCGTCTCGAGTCCTGCGCCGTCGGGTCCGTTGGCCTCGGCCGGGCCCTCGGGCACCGCGACACCACAAGTAACCGACATCTACCGTCCGATAGCGACTGCTATTCAAGTATGCTTGCTATCTCTGCGACCGAGCTGACCGCAGAAACCCCTCGCGGACCTGACGACGGCGGCGTCGGCCGAGAGCGACCTGCCCTCGCTCCTCGGGCTCGACAGCGCGACGTACAACGCGCGCCTGAGCGGGAAGAACCTCCTCCTGACCGATGTGCCGAGTGCGCCGAGCGGGCTCGTCACGGGGCGGAAGCGGAATCGCGGCGATCCCACCGCGCTGGCGGCCACGAAGGCAGCGCAGGCTGCAGAGGCAGCTGAGCGCGAGGAGCGGGGCACGATGGCGCCGCGCAAAGCTCGCAAAGCGCGCAAGGTGCGGGAGGCGAGGTGCGCGACCTCGCCCGGAGAGCGGATATCGTACGCGAGCCTGCAGCCGCTGCGGACGCTGCACGAGCGATACCTTGCGCATGTCTTGCAGCTTCCCACCTGGGACCCTAATGCGACATCAGGGGCTACTACCCTACCCGTGGCCGCCGAGCCGATGCAGGGCAAGCTCCTGAAAGCCGATTTCACTGGCGCCGTCGTATCCGTGCTCGCGTCGAAGAATCTGTCTCTGACGGGGATAAAGGGCACGGTCCTCGAGGAGACGAGCGGGACGCTGCGGCTAGCCTGCTCTGACGACCGCGTCCGCGTCGTGCCAAAGCAAGGCGCGCAGTTCCGTCTCCTCTTCCCCGCCTATGCTTTTCCAGCCGATCCGACACGGGAAGCAGAGGACGACGCGGCCCATCTGGCGCGGTTCCACGCCGACTGTCCCCGCATCGAGGTCGAGATCATGGGTTCGGCGTTCGCGTACCGCAGCGGAGACAGGGCGGGGAGGAAGTTCCGCCCGGCGCAGGGCAAGAACGGAGCAGGCTGGGGAGAGGAATGGGTCAAGGGCGAGTGGGGCCAGATTCTGGGAGAACTGGGCGTGGACGAGGGGACGCAGACGCTGAGGAGGCGCAAGAGGAATAAGAGCAGGAGGAAGGACCCGCTCGTCGGCGGCAGCTTGCAGGTGTTCTAGACGGTGAAGTCATGTATGATAGTGTACCATTGCTACATTGCGCGCGTGTGATGGAGCGGTAGCGTGTGACTACTTTTTTTGCTCAGCGGCGGATGCTGTGTGGCTGACTGGCAAGCACTGTAGTTCCTCCAGGTCGACATTTGGCCGAGCTGACATTCTGCTAGGCCCATCCTCGCGATGGCGCCGGTTCCATCTACGCAGTGGAGAGCGTGAAGTGAAGTATCACCACTGATCGCTCTCAAACTGCCATTGTGATCGTTTCGGCGCTGGCCGCACCTCCACCTCCCTCCGACGTCACAGCACCCGGCAACTCTCACCATCTACTAATCCTCCTCATCATCACCCAATCCCTTCAACCTTCATTGCTCACACGCACGCCCGGACCGCTCAAGCGCTCAAGTGCTCAAGTGCAAAGCATGTCAGACATCTCAGCCTTCCACACCCTCCTGCGCAGCCTGCGGCATCCGCGCATCCTCGCCGTCTGCGGCGCGGGCCTCTCAGCCTCCTCGGGCCTCCCCACCTTTCGCGGAGCCGGCGGGCTCTGGCGAAACTACGAAGCCACCTCCCTCGCGACCCCGCAGGCATTCAAGCGCGACCCGGGACTCGTGTGGACCTTTTACGCCTACAGGCGGCACAGGGCGCTCGGCGTGCAGCCGAATGGGGGACACTGGGCGCTGGCCCGGTTAGCCGAGAGGTTGGGGGATGACTTTTTGTGCTTGACGCAGAATGTCGATAGTGAGTGACAATTACTTTTCGGAAGTGAAGGGAGTGAAGGGACAGAGGGACAGAGGGACAGAGGGACAGAGGGGAGGGACGACTGACGCAGCAGACCTGCACGAACGCGCCCAGCACCCCGCCCAGACGCTGAAACACCTGCACGGCTCCCTCTTCCAATTGAAATGCACCCTGTGTCCATGGAAGGCGTACGATGACCGCGACCCTCTGCCGGGGCTCGAGATTGCGGCGCAGGACTCGGCCGCAGAAAAGCTCCTCGACCCGGCACACGCGCTCGAGCCCATCTCTGCCCAGGATCTGCCCCGGTGTCCTGAGTGCGGGGGACTGGCACGCCCCGCCGTCGTGTGGTTTGGCGAGAGCCTTGATGCCGACATGCTCCAGCAGGCTGATGAGTGGATCGAGGAGAGGCCCGTGGACATTGTCCTTGTTGTGGGGACGAGTGCCGTGGTCTATCCTGCTGCGGGGTATGCGGAACTCGCCCGGACCAGGAATACCCACGTGGTCACTATCAACCTGGAGATTGAGGGAGGACGAAGAAACAAGAACGACTTCCACTTCGAGGGCGACGCGAGCGTGCTCCTTCCCCAACTGCTTGAGCCCATCATCGGCAAGCCCTCGGAGAATTAGTTAGTCGCAACCAGGAGTTAATTCCAGAGTGTCCATAGCATCTCTCTCTCTCTGTTTAGTTTCTACTTGTACAATTGGTGGGTTGATAACTTTAGATCTGCGGACTATGTGACGAGTTGCCCATGAAATGAGGAATCCAACCCGCGGCGCGCGCACGCTCGGCGCTCTAAGCCTCAAGTCCGTGAAACAGTTTTGGTCGTGGGTTCCCTTGATGATACATCTTTGTACAGGTCGTGACAGGTTGCTGAATTGAATTGTGTCTGTGTGTGGCGCTCGATTTCTAGGCGCTCTAGGTTCTGGCGCGCCGCCGGCTTACTGACTTATTGTAAGCGCGGCGAAGTACGCGGGGCGCTCGCTCTGCGCTCCCTGGGGAATGTCTCCTGCGTCGGCGAGTCACCCATCAAGCCGAAGTAGTCGTACTCGCTCGTGCGGCGTGCGTTCGGCGGTCGGCCGACCATGGGGTACGCTCCCGTCATCGAGTACGATCCGGACGACATGTGGGACATGCGGGGGTATGGCGAATCGGCGTTCGGCAGATCGATCAGGCGGAGAGACGCATCGGGCGACGTGACGGGCACATTGATGGCAGAGTGCGAGCTCTTGCGCCGCTCTCCGTACGAGGGCCGCTGTTGCTGCTGAGCAGAATTCTCGCCCGGGGCAAAGTCGCTGTACGGCACATTCGGCGAGTCATGCACCATGAGCAAACTCTGGTGCAGACTCGAGCCGCGCGTGTGGTTCGACAGGCTATCCGCACCACGCGTCAGTGCGTAAGGTCGGTCGTCCTCCTCGCGCACCTCGCGTAGACTGTTCAGCTGGATCGAGCCGCCCTCGGTCATGGACTTCCAGCTCTCGACGTCCGCGTCCGAGAACCCGTCGACCATGCTCTTCTGCCGTAATGTGTTCCGGTGCTTGCTGCTGCGTAACGTCGAATCGCTACGGTCGTGCTCGCGCGGAGCCGGGTCCGCAAGCCTGTAGTCGATGCGGCCGGACGCACCGACCCTGCGGCGCATGCAGAACCACCACGCGCAGAACGCAGCGGCAGCGAGCACGAAGAAGCCAATGACTGAGCACGCAGCGATGACGGCGGTGGAGACGACACGGTGCTGCTGCGCAGGCGTTGCGCCCGCCCCTGGGTCCCCGCGCTCGCCGTCCCAGCGGCCCTGGGAGATTGCCGACAGAGCCTTGTGGTCGTTGCGGACGGCGTAAAAGTCTTTAGAGCCGGTCGCTTGGTCCATCAACGACACCATGCCAACTGACGGTCGCCATGACGAGCCAGCCTTTGACTGGTCCGGGTATCGGAACACCGAGTACACATTGCGCATGAAACTCGAGCCCAGTACCACATCGGCTTTACCGTTCAGGTTGGCGTACTGGATCGAGCCGAAGCACGAGACCTGCGTCGGGTCGTCTGGGTCGGGCCACGACATGTCGAGCGGGTGAACGGGGAAGTCGTTGCCGCCAATGTTGAACGTGACTGCGATCTGCTGTGTGCACGGGAAGCGGTACTTGCCGTCCTTGCCGGCCTTGATGTTGAACGACTGGTAAATGTCGTCGACGACCGTTCGGTTGTTGAACAAGATACCGACGCCGCCAGAGTCCAGGAGGACTAACGGCTGCTTGACGTCGTCCGCCTCACTCCTTCCAAGCGTAATGTTACGGTGGCTGGGGCCGGAGCCGCCCTTTGCATCAGACCACGTCGTCGTGTAGATCCCATCAAGCAGCATACGCCAGTGTAAGAATCCCGTCTTGCCAAGATTTGACTCGGCGACAATCGGAACGTATTTGGGCGAGCACGGCGGGGGGCAGAATCGGTCGTCTGTCGTGCCGATACCAAGAGTCGACGCCGTTCGCTTGTCGTCGAAGCGCTCGAGCGACAGGGAGAACAAACGGTGGGTCGGAGCTGAATGCGCGCCAGCGCCGAACAGGTTGTCGAGCCATGTCGCGCCATCTGGCTGTGATCCAAACGTACCCGGGAGCTGCTCTTGGATGACAGAGTTGGCCGGTACTGCAATTAGCTTCAGAACATACAACGAGTCACTAGCTATACTCACGAGCTAAGCCCAGTAGCCCCGAGAACTCGCCGTTGCCCATGTCCTCGTCTACGACTCGCTCCGCCGCGACGAACGACTGGTAGCCGATGGAAAAGTTGCCCAACGTCACTTGCTCCCAGTAGATCTCGCCGCTGACAGAGCCGACGAGATAGTCTAGCCTGATGTCGATGTCGGCGTCGAGGGAAGCACTGTGGTTGAATAGGCGCGGGGCATCCTTGCACGAGGAGCTCTTGCACGTATTGACCGCTGCCCACTGGAAATGTCAGCACGGGCTCGGCCCCTGCACTGTCACGACATACCATGTCAGAAGAGCCCAGATCCACCATCATGTTTAGGACTTGCGGGGCTGTGCCGTTCCAGTCCTGCCGTTTCCTGCTGTAGCTGCTGCTCTGCGACTCATGGCCAAACGACATGGGCACGCTGTACACTGTGTCTCGGTCACGTCCTCCCATCGTCATGTTGAACAGCTGGCCCGGCACGAACGTCGGCTTTGAATCCGAGCCTGTAGACGTCTTCGACGACGTCGTCCATGGCCGCGACTTGGTGAAGCTGCTCCATGTCCGCGATATTGAGGTTGAAGTCGATGAGCTCGAGGACACGTTCGCTGAGGGTTCCATGGTCATCGACGCGTTCCAGGGGACGGATCCGTTCATCGATGACCATGCTGGGTCATAAGAGGAAGACGCATTCTGGCTAGGCCAAGGATCTGAGGGGTTCGTGAGGGTGTGAGGTACGCCGCCTGGTGCAGACTCGCCGGGCGCCCCAGCTGCCGCGCTTGTGGCGGTCGGGTCTGCTGGCGGCGATGCAGGGGGAGAAGGAGTCGGGGCTGATGATCCGGACGGCGATGCAGGCGGTTGTCCATCTCCTTCCTGACGCGGTCGAAGCGGCCCCTGTGGTCGATGGTATTGCTGATCAAGCGATGGGCGCAATGGTCGGCGGAGCTGCCGCGCTTGTGGCGGTCGGGTCTGCTGGCGGCGATGCAGGGGGAGAAGGAGTCGGGGCTGATGATCCGGACGGCGATGCAGGCGGTTGTCCATCTCCTTCCTGACGCGGTCGAAGCGGCCCCTGTGGTCGATGGTATTGCTGATCAAGCGATGGGCGCAATGGTCGGCGGCTTGGCGGTGCGCCGGAGCTTGCCGACCGTGTCTCTTCCCGGGGCTTCATAGGGAGGAGAGCTTTCTGCTCTAGAGCGATAGACGCGAGATCGGACGAGCCATTTGCCAGCCTTGCCAAGGAAGACGTCGTACGGGGAGACGAAGAGGGCGTCGTCGTGACTAGGGATATCCGGATGAAAGGGGCGCTGCAAGAAGGAAAGCGCTCGTTACCGGCTGGAGGGGTGGACGGGCGATGCGATGAAGTGCGAAGGAGAGTAGAGGTTAGAAGAAAGAGTCAGAGAGTATCGGCGGGCCAAGAAGAGGGAAGAGGTGGTGGTGGAGATGCGGGTTGCCGATGGATTGAATTGTGGAGGTCAGTGGTCGAGACGAGGTGGATCTGTGGGGGTGGTGGAAGGAGGGTGAGGGTTGAGTATGGGGGGAGTCGTCTGTCGGACGATCACGAGGACTCGGGTCGGTTGGTCGGGGGTTGAAGGTTGAGAAGCAAGATGATGGTCAGAGTTGAGAAGAGTAGAGTGTGGACAAGGTGATCGCTGCAGTGCCGGCGGCCTGGAGTGCGTCTGTCTGCACGGTACACAGAGCCAGGCGCAGGATGATGGAGGAAGGCAGCTGGGCAGGAGTGTACGAGTGCAGGAATGTTGCAGGAGGGACCGGCAGGTCGGAGGCAAGGGGCGTGTGAGAGAGCAAGGGGAGAACCGGAAGCGAGCGAGAGGTGGTGATGGTGGAGGTAGGGCCTGGAGAGAGGGTGAGTGATCAGTCATGCAACAAGCAACCAGACTAGCCAGCTAGGTTCAGACTTTGCGCCACCAGAGCCGAGCCGCAGTAGAGAGACTGCATATTTTGGGTGTGGTTGGAATCCCCTGTGGGCCCTGGCCTTATGCTGGTTGCTGGTAGCTGGCAGGCTGTTGTTGTGGTGGGATTAGTGTGAGAGCATGCAACGGGAACCGACGGCGGGCTTGCAAGGCCTCTGCAAGCTGTGCAGAGGATCAGAGGACACCACCCAGAGTGTGGGCGTGTGGTGGGCGTGTGGGCCCCTTAGTCAGGATGCCTGCCTAGACTGGCTTTCCAAGCCCTACATCATCCTCACTCGTGCCTGGCGCCGAACACCCGATCCCTCGATTCTTCCTCGGATCGTGGCCTGGGAGTTCTTGGGGTGAGATGCCCTCGGCTTCCAAAGCAGGCGCGGACGGAAGCTAATCGAGGGGTCCAGACCCTGACAGGCTCTGTCCCTAGCCTAGCGTGTCTCTGTCTGCAGGCGCCCCGCACGTAGCAGGGTGGCCAAGGGGGACCAAGGGATGCCGGCACACACCCTGCCCCCCTCTGTCAACCTCCCCAAGCCAGCACACACTCAAACTACCGCTTGCAGTTAAACCCGGCTGTCACCAGCCCGTTAATTTCTCTGACCCTGTCCACCGTAACAATGCTGTACACCCTCCTCCCATCTCCCTCATCTCCTTCCCCCTTTGCATCCCCTTCCCCCGAGAGCCCTCCATGCTGCATCCGCCCACAACGCTGTAAACAACCATCTGTCACGCTTCTGCCCACCGCCCATCGATGATGCATTTGTTCATCGATCTCGACGTAGCAGAGTCGACAAGACGATGCGGTCATGGCACTCGATTCCGATTCAGAACAAGCACCGTTCCTGAACCTTTTCTCTGCTCTCTGGCTTCTCTTGGACGTCGTCATGGCTTGGCGCCGGCGGCAGCGTATGCACAGTGCGCACATCTTGCGACGACGGCGCACACACTACATGTACTACGGGCGTGTGCTGGGTGCGGAGTATGCTTTGTTGGCTTCTTGGCGCACAGAATCATGCTTTCAGGTGACGCTCCGGCCTAACCCTGCTAGCCAGTTTCTAGCGCACACCCAAAGACCCAAGGAATGCGCCGCCGCGCTGCTCGCCGCTGGTCACTGTTCGCGCTGCTCGCGCACTCGCTACTCGCGCGCGTCGCTCGGGAATCTCAGCGGGGCCAGCGCGTGGCGCACGGACACTTGAGCACAGTTGAAAGGCAGCGTTTCAAGCCCGCCTCGCGCGCCTGGCCCTAACGCCTCCGCCTTGAAGCGCCGCTGGCGCCAGGGCCCTTTACACTGTTGACAACGAGCACAGGAATCAGGCGAGCTCAGGCGTACTAGCAGCTATCTGACCAGTCACAGACTCACAAGCCAAATGCAAATGTTGTGGAGGAGGGGGCTTCAGCGAAGCTCCGTCTCTATTCTGGCCTATAGCAGCGTCTTGACCGTGAGGGTCAGTGCAGCGCTGATCTCTTGCTCTTGAACTCTCCATATCGGGCGTCCACCAGGCCACCAGCGAGCGGAGCCACCAGGGGCATCGTGGTGGCGTTGAGCGAAGCGCGCGGAGCGCTCGGACCATCCCCTATCAGATCCTGCAGCCTTGCCTTCCCTGCACAGCCGCCGCACCTGCCTCTTCCAGCGATCCAGCACGCTGCACAGCTTGGCGAGTGCTCAAACACTGCAGTTCCCCGCGCACGGCCGATCAAGAATCGAGGATATTCGACTTGGATGTCGCACTCGCCACCCATGTGCCTTTTGTGCTTTGTGGCTGAGACCACAGCAGAGCAGAGCAGGGGGGCTCAGCCGGGACAAAGCGCCATCCAATGTGTCCGCCCGACCAGCCTGACCAGTCTGACCAGCCCGACCAGCCCGACCAGCCCGATACCGCAAATAGACACAAGCCACAGCAAACGCGTTCCGCTATTCTGGATCGCGGAACCGAGGAGGCGCAATAACTGAAGCACACATCGAGTCTTGAGGTGAATACAGCGAAAGAAGGCGCGTCTTTGTGGCCGACGCTACTGTCAGGCGGGGCTCCTCGAGTCCCTCTCCCCTGCAAATGGGAGATGCTGGCCCGTTTGGCGCCTCCGGTGTTCTGTTGATGGATTCGGAGCTGCGGATGGTGGGCTGCTCTGTTACTGGTGGTCCACCTCTCGGCCCGATTCCTCGGGCCGTCACTGACATCTGTAGCCTATGGTCTGGTGCTGCTGTGAGGCGGCTGACAAGCTCCCTATTGGGATCACCGACGTTACTCCGATTCAGATTACCGATGCCAGCGTCGAATGGAAGCTTTGCGGCAGGATCTGAGAATTGCATACGTGAAAGATCGCAGTACCACTCGGCACTGACAAGCCAGAGCCGGCGCGCGGCCGTCCGCAATTGGCCAGCTCCAATCATTGACACTGACACAGCGCTCTCCCTTTATAGCTGCTATGGCCAAAAGAATGCATGGGTACTTTGATACTTACTAGATACTACTCTCTCTACTCTCCTTACAGCAGGCTCCAAGCCGAGGCGAGCACGGCAGCGAGGGTAGCCGCCACGCCCCAAGTCGCGGCGGGCCGGGCGCCGCTTCCCTCCTTGCCGTCCTTGCCATTCTTGTCCGCGCTGTGGTCCTTGCTCGTGCTGCCGTTGGCCGCGGCAATTGGCACATCGCGGGTCTGGATGAGCGTCCCGTCAGTGCTCAGGTTCCAGAATCGGTACGCGTTCACGCGGATACGGTCGCCATAGATCTCGGCGCGGAGACCGGTGGGCGCGCCATCGCCGAGCGTGTCGCCCTCAAAGTCCTTGGACCCGACGCCGATGTAGTTGAGCGTCGCGCCCGTGTTGAACGTCGTGATCGTGCTGTTGTACCCGACCAGGGGGCGGTGGTCGACGTTCTGGTCCAGAGCTGCAATGTCCCAGTGCGTGTGAGAGGTAATCAGCAGCGCGTGCGGGTTCGCCGCGAGGAGGTAGCGGAGGCGCGTCTCCTCGTGGCCGAAGCTGGTGCTGTCGAACGTCGTCCAGGTGCCCGAGACAGAGTAGGGGAGCGCAAAGTGCGAGAAGAGCAGGACGGGCTTGCCCTCCTGCTTCCAGTGCGAAAGGCGGCCGGCGAGGTACCCGTACTGCGCGTCGCTCATGTTCACGAACGGCGGCTGCCCCGTGTGGTCCAGGAAGGTGTACTGCTCCGTTGCCATCCAAATGATCGGCGTGCCCTTCTCCGTCACGTGCTCGCCCCAGAGTCCGCGGCCTTGCTCGCCGTGCAGCTCCGTCATGCGCGTGCCGTTCAGGAAGTTGTCGATGTGGCCCGGCGACTCGGGCATCGCATAGTACATCTCGTGGTTGCCGAGGGTGGAGATGACATTCTTCTCGCCATAGTGCTCCCACGTGCCGGCGTCCTTGAGCGCCTTGGTGAAATTGGCCCAAGTGTCCGGCGCGTCGTACGGGACCAGGTCGCCGTTAATCACGAGCGTGCTGGCGTTGCCGTACTTGCGCAACCCCGGCAGGAGACTGTCGCGCATCTGGTCGTTCTGAGGCAGGCCCTGGATGTCCGAGATGATGTCGATGACCTCGGTCGGCTCGCCCTCGAGCTTGCCCTGCGGCTTCACAACAGCCACATCGTCGATGAGCCAGTACGCATTGTCGCCCTTGCCCTCGAACGCAAACGTGAACACCAGCTTGGCACCGGCGGCAGCCTTGAAGGGAACACGGTGCTGGGCCGCCTCGGCCGTCTCGTTCAGCGCGAACAGGCGTTCCGGCGACTTGCCGTCGTACGTCACGGAAACGTGCGCGTCCTGGCCCTGCGGGTCCGAGGTGTTGTAGTGACTGGCGAAACGGAGCTCGTACTCGCCCTCCTGCAGGTCGATGGCCGGGGTCGCGAGAGAGTGGGAGCCCGCTCCGACCGCGGCAGCAATGACGCCGCTCGCGCGCGAGAACCGCTGCTTGCCATTCGTGCCGTGGTCGCGCACAATGCCCCAGAGCGTGTCGAACTTCCAGTTGGTCGCGTTCCATCCGTCCTGGCCGTCCTCGAACATCTCGAGCCAGACCGGCTGCTCCGGCAGCTGGACCGGGGTCTGCTCCGGCCACACAGTCACGTTGACAGAGTACGCGTCCTGTCCGCCGAGCTGGACCTTGAGCGTCTTGAACGCGACAGAGTCCTTGGCATCGCCAACAGGGAAAGTGACCGTCACAGTGCCGTTCTCGCGAGACTCGGAGGAGGGCGAAACGTTCTGCCCGTCAAGAAGGAGCGTAAAGTTGCCTTCCGGAATGCCGCGAAGCGTGAGGTTCGCGTCGTGCCCCGCCCAGGCAACAGGCTTGAAGCTGGCCAGAGAGACGTTCGCCGCCATGTCTAGGTGCTGCTGTGAATGTCAGTTGGTAGGAAGAGAAAAACCGCGCCGGCGAGCTGCGGCGTTCTTATGTTATTGTCGCATCTGTCAGAGGCGATGAGCCCGGATGGATGCCGAGTGGGCCGAGCGCTCAAGAAGAGAGGAAGTAGAGCAGATGCCGACATCCGGTGACCAGATGGCCAGATGCAGGAATAAGCATATGATCCGAGGAAAGAGATGCATTCAAGGGTTCAATCGAGAAGGGACGGTGAGGGTCTGTGCTGCCCGAGCTGTTGCCGCCTTGTACGCAAGCCAACTGGTTTACCCCACGGGGCACGCTTTTCGCCGGCTACTCCGTTACCCCTCGTCTGCATCTCCGTGCTCTCTGTTAGCACACCTTCAGCAATCCTGCTCGGCCCACGTTCTCGCAACCGCCCACGTTTCCGTGCACGTGTGCTTCGGTCAAGCGGAGCTAGCGGATCATGCGGATCATGCGGATCATGCGGATCATGCGAAGGTCGGACTACAGATGGAGCACAGGAGTGTGACGAACCCAAAGCGCGAGCGGGGAGTGATCACCTGACCAGATGAGAAGTCGAAGCGCACGACCGCACGGCCTCGAACTCGGATCCAAGCAACCAGAGGAACCCAATACATTCACAACTAGAACAGCTATCAACATGGAATGAAGCATTCATCAGCTTACAGCAGCATCGCCCGCGACGACTGCAGCTGAGTACCCAACCAGCTTGCGAGCCTACAGCGGGTCACTTCTCCGTCTCCTCCGCTGCGGCGGCGGGGCACTGGGCACACCCGCGGATCCTTGACGCGCTTCCGCCCGCCAGGCCGTCGTCGACTCATCGACACTTATTGTACGCTTGAGGGTTCTCTTCACATAGGCGTTCGGGACGTAAAGCGGGTGTTCTTCGTGCTCTGGAGGGTCGACATCTTGGGGGAGTTCATAGTCGTCGAAACTAGCCCAGACACTGCTCTCACCGCCGTTGGCGAATGTGCCGGCGGACTGTGCAGCCGCTGCGCGTCGCGGCCTGGTGTCCACAATGCGCCCCGCGGCAGCAGCAAGCATGAGCGAGGCACTCGTCGAACGTTGCTTCATCGTCCTCACGGTCTTCCCCGCTGTCTGCGGCTCGGACACCTGCACCTCCGTCGAGGCCGGTGGAGTCTCCTTCTTGACTGGTTTGACGAGCGCTTGCGCGATTTCTCGCGTATAACGCTGGTGCTCGTCTTCGACCACAGCGCCATTTGCGGGAGTGAGGCACGTCTCCTTGACAGTCTTCAGCCACTCTTCCTTCTCTACTCTAACGGCTCTCGCGTTGAGAGCCCGGCGCGACTTAAGGAGGTGGTTGGCGTGCCGTACCTCGCCCTGAGTTTCGGCTTTGGTCGCTCTGTAGGCGATATTCTTCTCGAGTTTGCGCGCACCCCCCTTGAATCGTTGAAACCGCGTCTCCCAACTAGTCGGTTCCCACTCAGCGTCCGAAGCAATCATGAGGTACTCCAGTAAATCCCATTCCAAAACCTTCAGCCTCAACTCCTTCAGATATTTGGTGTTGTCGGTCCTTGGACGTAGCCCTGCTCGATGGTAAGGCGTCTCCAGATAGTATGGCACCTTTCCGAGGATACGAGGGTTGCGAAGGACGGCGCGGAAAGCAGGGATCGAGATCTGACCGTTACAGATACTGACGGTGAGCTACTCATCCCCGAAAGGCTTAACTCACTGGGTGTGGCCCTCGCAGGTACCTCCGTGTCGCGTGGAGCTGTTGGACACGTGGATGCAGGCGATGCGCTCGGTCCCCACGTCGTCGATGAAGTCGTTCATTGCCTTCACACCGTCCAACATGTTGAAGTCATAGTCGGTGATGTACGCGTGACAGATGTCGATACACAGCATTGCGCGGCTGTCCCCGACCAGATCGATGACACGCTTGAGCTCCTGCAGGCTCCAGTGGTGGGTGTCACGTCCGCAACCAGTGTTGTTGTGCACCATGTTTTCGAGAGCCAACTTCACCGTGGGCACGGCCTTCAGCAGACGCTTGATTTGAGTGGCGACACGACGCACTGCGGCCTCGACGTTGGCGTACCGTTTTCGCTGCTCGTCGAACTCGTAGAAAGCGCCAAGGCTGACGTCAGCACCAAGTTCGGTACGGGAGGGCAACCGCCCAAGAACATACTGAACACAATAGACCTTGACGCCGAGCGAGTTGCAGTGCTGCATTTCCATCTTGATGTCATTGAACGCTTTCTTCGCAGTGGACCTGCGGTCAGTACACGGCCCGCAAGTTCGACTCACGGGTTAGCGGATGCCAGGTTGGTCGTATGGTTCCCATGCACCGTCCAGTGCTTCAAGCAATGACCCTCCGACAATCTTTGGAATTCCTCACGTTTCCAGGTGCTTATGTCATCGACCCGTCGCCGTGGCGAACCGATGAAGAATTGCACTCCAATGTCGGCAGTCGGAGGGCCCAGCAGCGGTAATAAATCGACGTAGCGCTCCATGACAGTCTGGACGCCGCCGTCGCTCGAAAGGTGGAATCCCTTGATTGGCGCAGCAGCAACCGTCACGGCTTGGTCCCCGGTCGTCGTGCCGGCCTCAGCATCCAGAATCAGCTCCACAGTGGGAGTTCCGGGAATGACATCGTCGTCCGCGACTCCGGTGTCATCGTCCCGATCCTCAGTCAAGGCTGGAGTGGGGTTCCGGCTATCTTGGGGCGTGCGTGCGACAGTCCAAGAGCCTTCAGTGAGGGGGAGTGCAAAGCCGTCCTCTGATGACTCTTGCAATTCTCTCGTGTAACCCACGAGGACTGGGTCACTGTTATTAAGATGGCGACGAGGACTACGACGAAGAGGAGAACGTTGAGAGGGGCTGGAGGCTTCGGCGGCAGCCGCACTCTTAGCGGGTGAACCGCCTACGATGCCGTCAGCGTTTGCTCACTAGAAAACGAACTGTACTCACTGCGACTCGCCGTCTTGTTACGACGGTTTGCCTTCTTCACGGCGCGACGGGAGCGGGTCTTCCCTGTTTTCGCAGTCCCCATCTTCAAGACAGTGTTCGAGGCGTGCAGACATCGGTGGTGTTTCTGGACGTCCAGCTTATAAGTGAGCAGCGTGCTTAGAGGCGTGTATGTGGGTCGGTGTCACTGGTGCAGGCGGCTTAGGGGAGATTGACTGGAAATGAAGAACAACGCCAAAGTCTTTCGTTCGACCATCTAAGGGTATGTCACTCATTGGCCGAGACCAAGGTGACATGCGTATATGGCAAGTTGCCGAACGCACCTTCTGTGCACAAGTGCTGCCCTGAGGGATCAGTGCAAAGCTCTGTGGCTTTTCCGAAAACCGGTTCCGCGGTTGCTGCGACCAGCGTACGGCCCCGGGCCGCGCCAACCTGACGCCCAATGTTGCGCCTTGAAGGATTGGCTGCAACGTGTTCGAGAACGGATCAGATCTGAGAACAATGGGACTCGGTTTGGTGACATTGGAGTAATCTCGCAAGGAGGAAGTAACCGGTGCATCCGTGCACAAAGTCTGAGTGCTCGAAGAGGCACCACGTAGGAACGGAGTGTCGCTTGGACGCACCCAAGGCGCGCACGCGGCTTGTGCTGATGGCGTCGAGTCTTACTCTGAGAGGTTTTTCCTCTTCCCTGTCGGGTATAAGGGCCCCCCAGGCTATCTCCGAGATGTCCGACCAAAAACTGACTCTGGTCCTTTGTGCACCCGAAATCTGGACACTTTCCGCGATTTTTATCAAAATGTCGTCGAGTGGTTGGTCCGGCAGATCAGACGAATGGGTGTGGGGAGATTTGAAAGCGGCATAATCAAGGATTAGAAAGTGATTAGAACGAAGTTTGATGAGTCAGGAGGGTAAACTGTATGGTGGACTGGGGGAGCTCCAGGCATCATTGAGATGGCGGAGTATTTATTATGAATGACAAGTATTCGCCGGGTATCGCGCATTTCTGGCTCGTCAAGTTTGCTTTGAGAAGATAACAGCCATTATTATCGACTGTTTCAAATACTTCATCAGTTCCCCATAGCCCCTGAATTCCGACATGAACTTGTGATCGACGAATCTAGGGCTAATCAAAACCCCTTTGCGGTCGCTACTTCACTGAATCCCAGAAATCGATGCTACAGAGGACGAACTTATGCACGTCATTGGGAGTTATGATGATGCAATCATGCATGTGAATGCCTACTTACTCGCGAAACTCACCTTTAGGTAAGTGCAGCTTGTCTCGTACGGGGTTGGCTCGTGCTGGATACCGACAGCACAAAGTGTCGATGCACGGGATATTGATGAAAGACTGTTGTGAAGTTCATGCAGACTACATCAAAGGTGGCCGTAATGTAATATACTATTGTGGTATCCAAAAGTAGAGTTTGTCTGTTTAGCGCTTGTCCCCTATTGATATTATGTGCGAAAATGTTTGCAACCCGAGGTTCGCCACGCGCCATAAATCAATTTCGCATTGCATGCATCATGCATAAAGATTATTTTTATATTGTTTCCATAAATAACGATAGTGTGATTCAAATTCGACGTCGACGTGGTCCCAAGGTCAGTCAGAGGTCAATTTTCGCTTTTAGCCATTAGGATGATTCTCTATATTGCTTTCATCAGTTGTATTATTGTATGCAATTCACCTGCCGCTGCTAAAATCCCGTGCCGTCGTAATAATCCCGTCGTAATAACCCGTCGCGAGGTTTATGCAAAGTTCAATTTGGGATTTTTCTTCAATGCTATCTACCGAGGATCCGTGCAATCACAGAATCCATTTTCCTGGTCACGCGGGCTATCGTCACACACGGACAAGGTCGGGGTAGTCCTGGATGCTTTGTTCCCTAAGTTCTGCATGCAAGGCCTCCAAAGTATATCTCCTTTGAGACTGTGCGTCTAATGCTCGTACAAGTTGATTAATTTCGGGTGAAAACTTGAAGAGTACGTGCGGTCAAGGAAGAATGTAGTGCGGGACATTTACCATCTTCCCAGTCTCAGCCTGTGTGCCATTACAAATATAGAGTCAAGTGCACTGCCTGCTAAATCGCTGAATAGAATTCATTACGAATTTCCTCTCAATTCTCGTTCTAAACAAATGCCCCTCGTCTGCCATGACACATTGATTGAGATGAGAAACGTTGTCTAGAACGAGTGCGCCACTGCATTACCTGAAGAGATTTCATCGCTCAATACCCCTCTGTCCGTCACCCGAAGTGCTGCGTTATGTTCCACTCAGTCTCGTAAGTGCAAGTACTGTAATAAAGCGGAGACCGATATTCTGGCATCTCAGTGAGCTTTGCTCTGTAAAGTTCCAGTTCGCGTGCACTCTTGAGGAAGCGGTTCGAAACGCTTGGCAGTGTGGGACCGAGAGGAATGCGAATGTTCGGACACCACGGCGCCCAGTCAGCCTTCTGCGCCTGAACTGACATGACAAGAGGATGTGGCTCGGCGGTCATGGTCAGTACCTGTTGCACTTCAGGCCTCCGCTGCACTCGGTAGAGCGAGCGCAACGGTAGAAGACTTGTGAGTAACGTTGCTTATTCGGCTGTGCAACTGATCGTAGGTTCCTGTACGGCTTCAAAAGCCCGTTCATCAATAATTTGCTAACAGTACGAGTGTCACACGCCTCTGGTGATGGTCCACTCAGATGACTGCAAGCATCCCCCGGTGCAGCAATCCGCCATATGGAAAGGGCTGGTGATTTGCTCGTCCAAAGAACCCTATCTTTCACTGTGTTTCCCAGTTGCATAGTTTCCTTGGTTGTCAAAGGACGAGGGACGGGAGGAGGAGAGCGAAGAGAACGCCGGACGAAGTCCAAGATGTCTTCCTTCGATCCAGTAACACGCGGCCAGACCTGTATTTCTCATCGATAGCATCACCGCGTGACAGGCGAAGGTAGAAGGGGTGTAGTCGGCATCTGATAGTTCAAATCAGAGCCCCGTCAGAGTACGTTGAGGGGCATCAGGAGCCCAGGTGAGGCAGGGATGCAGTCAGGAACAGGGCGATGGCATTATTCGGTAGCAGCGCCGGGCCCGCGTATGGGACACTGCAGGAGATGTAGAGACGCAGAACTGACATCCCTATTTGCTGCTCAATCGACGGAGAAGGAGTAGATACCAAGGTTGTGAGTGTTTGTAGGCTTCGCGAGAGTTGTACAGTGTCTGCCGCGAAGTTGAAGCGGTAATGCAGAATCAGTGATGACAAACGTATCGGTTCCACCTCATCGTTAGCTTCTCCCTCGGCCCCGAGGGAGAGAACTGTTTGCTCCAGTACGAAAACAAAGAAGCCGAAAATGCCTCCATTAGGCGTTTGAAAACGTCGAGCAGAGGACGGGAGCAGGGATAAGGCTTCACTCGACCATATGCCTTTCACCTTACCACAGATTTTCGTGAAAGCTCCGGGATTCGGGGTCATAAGGAATTGCGCTGATTCACCTATGTTTTGACCTTCGTAGTCCGTCCTCTTCACCATGGAGTATTTTGCGGCTCTCGATGGCAATCAAGACGTCAGCAGTTGCGGGAGCACGCCACCAGGACCTGGCTGTGGCGAGTGGAGACGTCACCGTATGTGGGAGGGGGAAATAAGCCACATGTCCGGTCCGTCTTTCTCGACAGTCCGATCAACGCCATCGCCGCACTTTGTTGTTGCAGACCGGCACACAGCCCTCAGCTCGTCATACAAGCATGTCCTTCCGCTTAGGAGCTCGGTACCTTGCTCAGGTGCCCCGTCTGGCCGGCTCTGCCGTTACGCGGGTCGCCTTCACCGCTCCCCGCGCTCGCCGTACCGCCCTCCCAGCTCTTGCAGCCCACGCTCGCTTTGTCTCAAGCACACCTCACGGAGATCCCGGTGTCGACCCATCTATCGCTGTCAGGTGAGTCAATCGACGACGTGCTTATGATGCTTCGAGGGAGGGAAACGGCAACATGCCTCCTACCACCTGCTGTGACTCGACATCGCTGACCCCAGGGACATGACGGACGAGGAATATCATGACGTTGCGGATGAGGACATGGACCAGCTTCACGAGGCGCTTGAGGACCTCGTCGAGAACTTCTCCAAGGACTGGGAGGTCGAGTATAGCGTGAGTCAATACCACTTCCAGATCTAACTTCAGTCTGGCGTTATGACCCTCGACGTGCCGCCGCACGGCACTTATGTCATCAACAAGCAACCGCCCAACCACCAGATCTGGGTGTCCTCGCCCGTCTCTGGACCGAGCCGCTATTCCATGTCCCCCGACGGCATCTGGGTCCACCACCGCCGGAAGGGCATTCAGCTTGGGGCTCTGCTTGAGAAGGAACTTCGAGAGTTCCTCAAGGAGACGGGCGCAGGAGAGGAGTGGGACGGAGTCAGACTCAAGTAGAGGAGGAGGCCGTTGTAGTGCATGGCATGTATGAGATCCTTCATTCTAAGAACATGTTACCAATAATGCATGGTACGGACCCTAAACCGCATGATATCGGGGAGGGTGAAACTACAAACTTCTACGGTTTAACAGGATCTACTGTCCTCCACGGAGACGAAGGACGAGGTGAAGGGTGGACTCCTTCTGAATGTTGTAGTCCGAGAGCGTACGTCCATCCTCCAGCTGCTTTCCAGCAAAGATCAGGCGCTGCTGGTCAGGGGGAATGCCCTCCTTGTCCTGAATCTTCGACTTCACGTTGTCGATAGTGTCCGAGGACTCGACCTCCAGCGTGATCGTCTTGCCGGTGAGGGTCTTGACGAAGATCTGCATTCCACCACGCAGACGAAGGACGAGGTGAAGCGTCGACTCCTTCTGGATGTTGTAGTCCGAGAGCGTGCGGCCGTCCTCCAGCTGCTTTCCGGCAAAAATGAGACGCTGCTGGTCGGGGGGAATACCCTCCTTGTCCTGGATCTTCGACTTCACGTTGTCGATCGTGTCCGACGACTCAACCTCCAGCGTGATCGTCTTACCCGTAAGGGTCTTGACGAAGATCTGCATACCACCGCGGAGACGGAGAACGAGATGGAGCGTCGACTCCTTCTGGATGTTGTAGTCGGACAGGGTGCGGCCGTCCTCAAGCTGCTTGCCCGCAAAGATAAGACGCTGCTGGTCGGGAGGAATGCCCTCCTTGTCCTGAATCTTCGACTTGACGTTGTCGATGGTGTCTGACGACTCGACCTCGAGGGTGATGGTCTTGCCGGTGAGGGTCTTACTAGTTGAGTCAGCAGGGTGGCGAGGTGGATGCAATGTGCGGAACACTTACACGAAGATCTGCATGGCGACGGATGAGGATGCGCTCTGGATGAGGTGGATGGCGGGGTGGATGGGAGAGGATGAAAGATTGTAAGAAAGAGAAATGAGATGATGCGTGACCGGATATAAACGTGCATGTGGTCAGCGCCCAGACAGCGAGCTTTGTCAGCGTCCGGCCCATCGGCACAATCCCGCGCACCAACGGCCGCTGCCATTCTGCCTTCTTTGGCCCACAATCTATTGCCATTGCCTCTTACGAGTGAAAACTGCGTTGGGATGTGCAAGGAGAGAGTGGATGCCACCCCAGGCATAGATTGTGATCGAAGGTTGACCGCTGGCAACGTTGTTCACACGTTGGGTGGCAAACAGGCAGGATTGCTTGGTCGCCACCCTCGCGGGAAACAACCGTTGGAAAGGATGAGCTGGCCTTTTGATATTCATGCCGGTCGTAAAACTCACGATTCAGTCGAAGGGGAAGTGATGAAGAGAGAAGAAGAAGTGGAAGCAGTACTCTACTCCGATGGTGCAGTACGCGATGATGGCTGTGCACCCGATGCCAAGGCGGTCAGAACTGCTGTAGCCCCAAGAGACCGTGGGTGGCAACATCTCCCCACGTCCCCCGCCCTAACTCCTGAAGTCGTTCGAGGCCCCAGCTCGGCTTCGACGTCATGGCATCACGGCCTAGGCCGATAAGCCACGTGTCTCGAGTGAGCCGGCTTCCGGCGTTATGAGAATGGATGCGTGTGGCACCTGGCACCCACCCGCAGCTGTCCACCTCCGCTCGTCGCGTGTCGACGCGTGCATCAGATTCCGTGTGCACTGATCGCCCTACGGTACATCCAGGGTCTGGCCGGTCTGTCCAGCTGTTCAGTGGCCACTGGCTTGCCTCCGTCACCGTTTGGGCACCGTTCCACCACCGTCGCCGCCGACAACACCTTCCTCCATCTCAACCTCTCCCTCATCGGCCTGCACTTCACCTCTCATCTCCTAGCATTCTCCTCTCATCGACATCAGCATTTCGAAGCCACATTACCTGCTCCAACCCTGGTAACTGGCCCCCCATAGCATCCTTCGTTCCGCATCGCCCACTTTCTTTACTCCACACGACAACAATACGAAACCCTTCCTCGTCCGACCACATCGCTTTCGTAAATTGAGATCCCGAGACCATGTCCATTTCGCTCCCTAACGGTACCCTGCTCGCTGCTCCTTCGTCCTCTCAGCCCCCAATCTCAGCTGCCGTTACCCGCATCCTGCATCTCGCCAATTTCTCTCCGGAGTGTGTAACTTCTCGACCTGTTGTGGTACGATAGCTGACAGTGCGCGCAGGTTGAAGACCCGCGACATTCAGAACATCTTCAAAGAGTGGGAGACTGAGAAAGGAGGGTTCCGTATCAAGTGGCGCGACGATGTCAACGCCATGGTTGTCTTCGTTGACGCTAACGTCGGTGCGTGGGCGTGGCTGCGACGTCAATGATCGCTAATACTTCTTCAGCCAAGCGTGCGTATCTCAGCTTGATTCTCAACCCTCCCCCCTCGATGCCCTCGCCTGCTACGATCAGGCCTTACGACGGCCCGGACGCTGCGCAGATCATCCAGTCGTTGGCGGCCCGAGCTATGGGGCACCGTGCTTCGATGTCTTCCGCCATGCCCTCTGGGTCGATCAGTGGCATGATGCGTGACGATGGCCGCGGCCCTAACAGTGGGGGAATCAACTCTTTCAAAATGCCCCTCAACCCTGCATTCTCGTTCGGTGGTTCGGCCTCGTCAGGACAAGGTCGCAACGGGCATGCCCAGCGCATGTCATACTCCCACCATCGCGCCAACTCGGCTTCCTCCAACTGGAACCGCCAGTCACTCTCTGGTGCCCTCGGGTTCGCCGGTCCCTCTCTTGGTGCTACGCGCCTCCCCACACACTCTGAGGGCTCGTCTGGCGACATTTCCAGGACAGCGTCCATGTCTGGCAACGAGGAGCCTTACCGCCAACGCGGTCACGGCGGTAAGGGGAGGAGGGAGAGTGTTAGCGCTGAGAAAGCGCTGCGCGAGGTCGAGCTCGCTCTGCAGAGTGTCGAGACCAAGGGCTAAGCCTTGTTATTTCGCCTAATCATTAGCACCCTATTCGTTCTTTAATGTTGTCTAGTGATGACACGGGCTCCAGCGTCCCCGAAGACCCCACCAGTCCAAGACTGCCCGCCAGTCTGGCTCTGAACCGCCCCATGCATGTACCATAGCACCACCACTGGGATCCGAGCTCATAGGGGGTGCATTTCCCCGCACGGCCCTCCCCTCACTCCATCATGTATGTCGTGATAACCACTGTCTACATACGGTTGCAGGCGAAGCAGTCAGCTTTTGTGCGACATGTTTTCTGAGGGCGTCGGCACACTGCGCGCCAAGGGCACATGACAAGACGAGAGCGCGTCGACACTCTGAAAGGAACCCTCTTGGTCGTCATAATGGTCACGTGATTTGTTGGCGTCAGGCGCGCTGAGCGTAGGGCACAGGGCACAAGTGTAATCGGTGCGTCACACTTTGACTGCCGGTGTTGAGCCATCCATTCTCGCCTTCCCCCCTTCTCCCACATCTCGCTCCACGTCTACATCACCAGCGCATCTGCGGCTGGAGGCATCCCTGATTTGGTATCGGTGGCTCTCGTTCTGCAAGTCATCGACTCGATATCGTGGAGCGTTATGTCCCGCCCTGTCATCTCTTATCCCATTCCTTCGCCGAATCCGCCGCCCGGTGCGCCAGTCGACGCTTTCGATGACCCGCAGAGCCAGCAGTCGGGTCTAGGGGTAAATAATGGCTCCAGTAGGGAAGGTAGCGGCCATGCGCGCAGCGTTAGCGGCCAGACCAGGGGTCCTGTGAGTCGCAGCGCGGCACTGCTCGGCGTGGCTAACGGTAGGCTTCGACTTTGGACTCCTTTATCACGAGGCTCTTGGTCGTGACCAAGCAATTGTTACAAGGACTAGAGCAATGGTCTCAACGGCAGCTCACGGAAGAGGATGTACGTACTGCACAATACCGTAATTATGCTAACAGCTTCAGGTGAGCGACATATATGTCCGCCTTGGGAATGGATTTGAGCTCTGCGTATCGGCCTTTCGAAAGGTCGGCATCTCCACTGCGTTAGTTTAAGTTGTGAATTTGGCTGACAGATAGTGATCTGGACTCTGTGCCCAACGACCTTCGAGTGATTCTCGAGCGCGCCCTGGGAGAGGAGCCTTCTACGGAAACGCTCAACATGTATTTGCCTGACATTCGAGCCATCATCTTCAATCTCCTAAGCGGGCTGAAGAACAAACAGATTGCGTACAAGCGGCTCATCGCTGACCGAAATCAACCCGATGTTTTCACTGCGTCGTCGTCTCGGCCTGCATCCAAGCCCGTGGAGGCGGACCCCTCACGCTCCGCCCCGTCATCCAACAAGTCTGACCGCACGGCTAGCCCTGTGCCCGTTCCCGCGGTCCCGCTTCCGGCTGCTGCTTTGGCCGAGAGGAACCAGCAGCGTCCGAACAGGCCCGCTCCTCCTGACGCCTTCCGCCCTCCTCGATCTCGGTCCGCTCAGGACAGTCACTCCTCGCACGAACCATCAACGCGCCGGACGTCGATGTCGTCGGAGGCGTCCAAGCACAGGTCGTCGCAGATGAAGCCAGCTGGTGCGCGACCGCTCATTAGGACACCTCCAACTGCCGATCGGTACAGTCGAGATGCAGGTGTCTCGCGCTTCTCGGACGATTCGGATACAGCCGAGTCTCGGCGTGCCTCTGACGCGTCGTCCTTGCACAACTCGATGAGCTTGCGGTCGCCGCCTGCGATTCCCCCGCCAACTCTGCCAACGATACCGACTTCGCCTCCTCTCCCTACGCTGAACCTACCCCCTGATCACATCGCTGCGGATCCATCCAACGATGCTGCTGTCGCCCTACAGCGGTCCGATGCCCTGGAGCGCCGAGCCTCCAAGCGCTTCTCGTCATACACTTTCAACAAAATGGTCCCAACCTCATCTCCCAGTGCCAAGCGCGCAAGCACGAGTGGCAGCCCACCGCGTCCCGCTCGTCGTTCTGATCGACTGCCAGCTGTGATTGAGGACCGTCGCCCCCCTCTCCCGGATTTGGCGAAATCACTGGAGATGGTTCGGAAAGCTTCCTCCTCCCCCAAACCAGCCATCCCTACGCTTGAGACGATCCCGGCGTCTCCGAGCATTGGCATCAGTTTGGAGTCTCAGCAAAAGCTGTCGTCAGGGTCTGGGTCTGAGTCGGCTGCCACGAAGTTCAAGTCTACCCAGGACAGTCTCGGGGGCACTTTGCTGTCATCATCGTCCCCTACCTCAATAACCGCATATCTTCAACTCGGCCGGCAAGTGAAGAAGACTGCGATTGATCTGCCAACGGACATGTCGACTCTGAAGCTCTTATTCATGGAGCGCTTCGAGTACGACCCCGGAATGGAGGATTTCCCGAATGTCTACATACGAGACAACAAGACTGGTGTGCAGTACGAGCTGGAGGATTTGAAAGACTTGCAGGAGGGTAGCGTTCTGACATTGGACATCGAGCGTAAGTTTTCACGTGCTGGGGCTGTGACTGACCAATCCAGCGCTTGACCAAGTAAAGCAGCATTTCGATCTCACTTTCGCCTCCCTTTCCGCCGAGATCAAGGAGCTGAAGTCGGCTCTCACCCAGCCTAAACGTCTTTCCACGGCTCAACCATTGACCAACTCCCTCCTCTCTGTCTCTCCGTCTCAACCACGGCTTCCCCTCGGAACACCTGACCAGACGATGGTCATCAACTCCTCCCCTCGCTCGCCGGAGGTAGAAATTTCAACCCCCACTGCGCCTGATGCCAATCTGCGAGCTCACTACGATGAGGTGCAGAGTCTCCGACGGGACCTTGCCATCATGCGACAGCTGCATCTCGACTTCATCAACCAGACCAAGGAGTCATTTTCAACTCTGCGTGAGCAGAACACGGCGATGCGCGAGGTCGTCAAGACGAAGATGGGTGGCAGCCGCGCACTCCTCGACAACAGCAAATCGAAGCTGGAGGCCCAGTGTCAGGACACTATCCAATCTGTGGAAGAAGTCTCTGACATCATTGATGGTGCTCGAGAGGATGCTCTTCGTCGTGGCATCACGCCGAGCAAGTCGAAGATGGGCAAGATTCGTGAGGACCTTACTAAGGCCACGGCTCTTGTGGAAACCTTCACCACCGACGTCGCGGCCGCCGAACCTACGTGGCGTGCCACTTGGCTCACCGAGCTCCAGAGAGTCACCGAGGAGCAGCGTCTACTCGCTTATCAGAACAAGCTCGCGGCGGACCTCAAGAACGACATCAAGGACGCGACCGAGATGCTTGACAATGTCCAAGCTTTCGTTGACCAACGCAAAGCTGGTGGCCGTGCCAACCAGAACCGTTTCATGCCGTCCTCTCCCGACGAGGGCGGCGGTGGTATCACCAACCTCCTCATGGAGATCAGGACGAAGGAGGCCGACCCGTCTCAGCGTCTTCGTGCCATTGAGGAGCAGCAGAGAGCCCGTGAGCGTGAGCTCGCGACGCGGACCGACGAGTTCCAGAACGAGCTTTCAGGTTTCGTCGCAGGGAAAAAGCTGAAGAAGACCGGCGGCACGGACGAAGCCGAACGCGTTCGCCAGCGCCGACAAGAACAGACCCTTCGTCGCATGCTCTCCGGCGATATCCCAGGAGAAACCGCTGGTGTGTTAGCCACGCCACAGAGAAGGGCCGCAAGCGATGGTGGGACTAGGAACCCTGCGCCGAGCGGCGGTCCACCTCAACAATAGATGTGAACATTATTGTGGACTAGAGTTATCTGTATAGTTGAATGTACAGTATGCATGCTACATACGCAGCGTGCAAGGATTCGGCACAACCTGTCGCGCCAAGCGAATGCCATTGATATATCCCCACGCTTAGACTTCATTCTCCTTGGGAAGGGTAGTGACGGTTGCAATCACACAGAGATCTCGTACTGGTCGAACAAGCCGACCATCTTCTAGATCGCTAAGAAGAATGGTTTGCACTTCGGCAGGGGACCGTTCCTGCCGTCTATCGCCCACTGAATCATATTAGAGATGTTCGGGTCGACTGCCATGCCAATGTGACCGGCGATGTCAGAGGGGCAGGCGTCCTGGAGGACGATGTTCTTGGCCCCTTCCTCATCGATGCGTCCGCTCGTATAAGGAGTGACCTGAAGATCGAGTTTGCTCATGATGTTGGTGTAAGTCGGTCCGGGAACGGTGACTCCGCCCTCGTGGAGCCTGTCGATGACGTCCGAAGGCGGCACCGCGTCGATACAGCCAGGGCAGAATGCGTCGGTGAGACCGGGGATCCATTGCTTCGGGAGACGGAGGCTCGCTTCAGTCGTGCCGTTGTACACAGGTCCGAAGCCCACATACGCTTTGACTTTGTCGCCGCCGCCGTCAAACTTGAGATAATACGCCGCCACCAATGTGCCCATGCTGTGCGCGACGAGGTTGACCTTTGAAGCCCCCGTGCTCGCAAGCACTTTGTCGACTACGCCAGCGATCTCTTTCGACGAGTCCTCGACCTTGGCACCCGCGAAGATGATGCCCGCTGTGGTGCCGTACGTCGGGGCGAAGACGCAGTAGCCCTTGGACGCGAAGACAGGCAGTTTTGTTAGAAAGTTGAGCCCCGGAGGCGCAGGCAGACCGTGCAGGAACACGATCGGCTCCTTTCCAGGCTGCGCCTTGCAGTCGTAGTCGTTGATTCCGGATGTGGACGCGCGCTCGATCGGAGTAGCAGCGGCGCTCAGCGCCACCGCGGCGGCGGTCACTAGGGAGAGACGCATATTCGTTGATGCCCGATGATAGTTGTCGACGATGCAACGCAACGGTCGCTAGCTAGCTATGCAGTGATACATACTCACGTCTGGGACAGTGCTGCATATGCTGCTCTATCAACGCAACCTGTTCGATCAACTGTTCATGGATCACCAGATATCACGGCATGGGATGTGGAGCTATCCTTAGCGTCAACCTTGGCCGCTCCCGGAGCCTTGTATATCCGCCACCGAAGTTCGAACGCACCAGGTCTTATCGAGAGCATCCGGGACCCTCTGGCGTCGGTCACAAACCCTATCAGGGAGGATGGGTGATGAGCTTGGTTTGGCTTAGCGTGCAATCGATTCTGCATCCGTGAGGAGAGCAGGATGTGCTTCCGCATCATCGCGAAACTCTATGCCACTTGAACGCAGTGAATCATCGCTTACCATCCTGGATCTCTCAAGAAACATCTGCTCACGCGCGCAGCTCATACCAAGCTCCAGATCTGACAGCAGATGTCGGTGGGATGGGATGACAAGTTGCGGCTAGATGACCTGCAGGCATAGCCTCAATGCCCCGAACCACATGTCTCCGTTTCCTGCGTAGTCGTTTAACTTGTCACTGCAGTCCTTATGCAGTGAGGAACGCGCCCTCCCAAGGTACGGCTTACACTCAAGCTTTCACACTCATGCATGAGCTGGCATGACCTGGCAGGTCAGGGACAGGTGTAAATAACCGGTTGAGTACGGAAAACGATGCCTTGGTCAGGCGCCCCTCCACTTATTGTTTCGACATCGCCCACTCTCCATGCCCAAGAAGATCGGAAGACCGTCCGTTAGCTGCGCGGAATGCAAAAGGTCGAAACTCAAGTGCGAACGCGAGCGAGACAAGAGTGAGGCATCCCGGAGAGCCACGCTGACATTCAAGGCGGAGCAGAGGAGTGGCCCTGTTCCCAGTGCCGACGGAGAGGTGAGTCAACTTTCCCGAGCACCGGACAACACCGTTAACGAGGGAGGCTGCGCCAGTCTGTGCCCCGACGGGATCGTTGCAACGCGCACGTCCGTCGGAGAACTGCGTGAGGAGATCGTGTCGCTCAAGCGTCAGTTGGCCGAGGCAAGCGCCGGGAAGAGCACTCCGCGCAACCTTGGCCCGGCTGGTGGCAGTGTTACGCCGACTCTGCCTTTGGGTGGCCCTCCGTCGACAACGACACCTGACGACGCCGCCGAAGGATCAACCACAGTCGGCCAGTTGTCTATCTCACCTGGCGGCAGATCCAGATTCTATCCTCCAACAGCGGCAGCGCACGTGTTGCCAGATGATGGGGACGACGAAACGAACAAGCCCGGTATCGCCGAGGGTATCACTTTCCCGTTCTTCCTCCAAGACCGAAGCGCGTTCTTGGCAGAAGCCCGCGCAAATCTCCCGGCGTATGAGGACATGCAGAACCTCTGTGAGGTCTACTGGTCAGCCACATGCTGGAGATTCGTACCCATATCTCGAAGCTACCTCGACGTTATCCTTCTCGAAGTATACGGCAACAGTCGGCAAACCCTGCAACGCAATGATGCCGCCCAGCTGGCTCTTGTCTTTGCCGTTTCGGCAGTTGGCAGCCTGTTCGATGAGCGAGAGCCACCGTATTCTGAGCGAGCGTATAGGTTCAATCGACTGTCGTTAGCGTGCTTAGGAGCTGCCGACTTTCTCACAAACACCTCGGTGGCCAGTCTGTAAGTGCTCCATTGCGACGTGGGCTCACAACAGGGCCACCCTCCACCTTCATTACTCTTTCGTCCTCAATGCCGGCGATCGACGAGCTGAAGAGCTGTACGCCGTCGTTGGTTTGGCCTTGCGTCTCGCCATCTTAGCTGGTTTCCACCGGGATGGGGCCTGGTGGCAACTGCCGGAGCGGGAAGTCAACGCAAGGCGAAGAGTATGGTGGGAACTGCTTACCCTAGAGCGCATCAATGTAAGTACCTTGAAGATGTTGTGCAATGCTTACACTAGTCCAATCGCTTTGGCTGTCCGCCATCGATTCAACCAGGCCAATTTGATACGCTTCGCCCTACCGACATCTCCGAAACATCTTACCTTTACTGGCGATGGGAATGGGACGACATTCTGCATCGCCTGATGAATGAGTGCATCAACTCGGAAGACGACGAAAGGTTGCGACTCGGCGATCGGACGGTCCGCGAATTCTGGGACCGACTGCCTCCGAACCTCAAGTTCGCGGGTGTTATGATCTACCCTTCAATGGACTCGGTACCGCTGTCGTCCCGACGTTTGGAGACTCCCGAGCGGCCGTCGCACGACAGGGAGCTATTGGAGCAAATCCGATTATCACTTCACCACAACACCGGCATGCTGCACTTGCATCGAGCTGCGTTCAGTACTGCCCTGAAGGAGTCCCCGCACGAACCTCTGGAGTCCCCACAGGTCGCAAGCGTTTTGGTGGTTATCAACGAGGCATGCGTCAACGTGATCGACATTGCGGCGTACGTTCTGGAGAAAGTGCCGATGGTTTCTCGGCACAGTCTGATGGTGCTTGATCTATACAGCTCACTGGTACCACTTGCTGCCTTTGTCTGCCGGTCCCCTCACTCAAAGCTTGCCAACGAGTGCCATCACCACCTCATGCGTGGGGTGACGCTTCTAGAGGCTACCACCACACAGACACCGTGCGATTGGTATAAAGTACTGTGCTCCCGAGGTCAAAAGCTTGCGGCACAGGCAACCAACCGGTTGATGGCCCGCTGGTCCCTGCCGAGTTCAGAGACACTCATGTCGCGGCCGGAGAACGATGAGGTCGACACCATGCTGGGTCGAACGAATAAGCTGCGCGAGCAGGCTGTGCCTGCCATCGCAACCACGCCTGCCATCGCAACCACGCCTGCCATCGATGACAACATTGCTCCTGATTTCGACATGTGGTTAAGCGCCTTCTGGCCAAGTACTGAGAACATCGCCCCTCCCACTGTGACGACGGACGACGGCACGGCTTTCTCGCAGTTGTTTGTGCCGATGAACGGCTTCTAGGTCGACGGTGCTCGTGGGAGACTTACCCCCGTGGTGTTCAATCATTCAACATACTTTATGTAATCTCCATGTCAGAAGCTGCATGAACGAGGAGTTTCGCACGTAATCTTTGTCAGATGAGTTTCCCGCCCATGAAGTGACAGACAGTGGGACCATGGGGCCCTTACTCAGCACGCGGGGCCATGCCGGCCGAGATCGGCCGAACCGGCCGGTGGTTTGTACTCCACCGAACCCGAAGGATGCGACCAATGTTAACAACAAACTCTCTCCGTCATCTCTCGACCACGATGACAGCCGACGAGGGCCCTCAAAGAAAGAAAAGAACTGTCAACTCCTGCTTACGGTGTCGCCGAATCAAGTTGAAATGCGATCATGGAACACCCTGCGGCAGCTGCACTCGCAGTGGCGTAACTGGCGAGTGCATCTATCAAGACCTGTAGGTATATACGGGAAGAGTCGCAGACGCTGATGCTTCAGAGAAGGGAATGTGATCGGTGACGTTGTTTTGGAGCCGCCGAGGCGTCGGGCTGTCCGAGTTTGCAAGCGCTGCCATCGGCTCAAGCTCAAGTGTGACAAGGGCAAGCCGTGTAGGTCATGTCTCCGGTCGGCCGAGGATTGCTCATATGAGCGGTGAGTTCCTCCCTTCGAACAGACAGTCTGACCAAGAAGTACGGCATCCTTGTCACCTCCTCGACTTGCTCAGCGGACGTACCCTGCGCAGCTCGCAAATGGTGCCGAGGCACCCAGCTACACCTCCCCGCGACACCCGGACTTTGCCTCCAAACTTCGGGCGACGATCGCGCGGTTTCCGTCGCAGGAAGTATGCCTGCAGCTCGTGAACGAGTTCCTGCACTTTGATGTCATGTTCCGACTTGTCATGGCGCAGGTATTCAAGCGCCGCATGGAGTACCTGGTCACGTACTTTCCCCGGTGTGAAGAGCAACACGTGCCACTTCTGTGCATGCTTTGCTCAAGTATGATCATCGGGTATTCCTACCACGACAAGAAGGAGACACTGCCAATCACGAAAGATGAGCTCTGGAGTATTAACAGTGACCTCATCCAGCTCATGGACAATCCCAGGTCCTACCCGGAACAACATCAGCTGGACTTTTGCGAGGCGCTCCTCCTCAACACGTACGCATCCTCGGTCGGCCCAGGCGCCAGTCCCGCCGGCGGCTGGCTGGCTATCGGCAGACTGCATCATGCTGCCCTTCTGGTCGGGCTTCCCAAGCACCACGACGAGACCCTGTACATGCAGGAACGACGACGGAGACTCTGGTGGAGCTACGTGAACTACAAGAGGTGAGTGCAGCCTAGTCGATCAGGCTGACCCGCAGGCAACTCTCTCATGTTCTGAACATCTCTCCCATACTATGCGTTCATCCAGTTCCGCGTCCTGCGTTCGTGACGGAAGAGGCGTTGGCGAAAATGTACGACGCTGAGCTGGCGGGGACGCCATTGTCGGAATTCCCAGAAGAGAGCGGGACATGCGAATGGGCGTATGTTCACTACACCGCCGACTGGTGGGCGGCGCAGCTGCAGGTCGGACACATCATGGACCCGACGACCCCGGCAGCTTCGTTGCGGGAGAGGCTACGCCGCTCACTCCGTGTACGACGAGTTCAACGCTACCTTGCCTCCCCACCTGCAGCTACACGAACCGTCGCAACAGGAGCCGCCCTGGGTATTCGCACAGGCGTGCGCCATGCTGATCACGACCGCGCACGCAGTCATCGACCTGTATCGCCCTTACTTTCTCGAAGAGGCCGTTGCTTTGCGACGAGCATTGCATGCAGCCGAGAGTCTGATCAACACGGCGCAGGCATTGACAGCCTTCCTCATGTTCCGGTGGATCGACGCCCAGAGTGCGCAGCTCTGGGAGTTTGGAGGCAAGGTGTTCAACGGTGGCCTCACCATGGCGTACGCGCTTCTGCAGGGCACGCCTGAGTGGGGGTCCGACTCGGGATTCGAGACAAGCCCAGCATCCGAATCAGGAGCAGGCACCTGGCGCTCACAACAGCAGACAGCGCTTGAGACTGCCATAGGTGCGCTGCGTGCGTGTGCGAATCAGAAGACGCATTGCAGCGAGCTCTCCCGCAAGTCGCTCAAGGTCCTGGAGATTCTCCGGACCGTCATCCTTCAGCGCCAGGCCGGCAAGGAGCCAACTCACGACCCCTATTCTCAGATCATCAGTGTACTCAACCAGGATAACACGGAAGAACTTGAGGATTGGGTCAAGTGGGATGGCATCTTCCAGGAACTTTTCACCGGGTACAACGACATTCTGCAGGGCATCGCATGAGCGCATCAATTCCCCCTCAGCGTCCAGGTTGTGCCATCTGCGTGGGCGAACGAGTACACGCCATGCATCGAAGACCTGGCCTACCATTCAGATACAAAATGCAGACAGTAGCGTCCTAGTTCGTAGCGTTCTGACATATGGAAATCATTATATTCACTGTTCAAAAGTCCTTGCTCCAAGCTGCGTCACGCTTTAACGGTGACTGTGTGGATAGCCGTTGAAACTACGGTCGAAGTGACTGTAACCGGTGTGGGTGCACAGGCGCAGTGTGACGTTGACGAGCTAGAGGGGGTTACAGACGTCGATTGAGACGTGGACGAGCTGGAGGGAGTCGCAGAGGTGGACGAGCTGGAGGGAGTCGCAGAGGTGGATGAGCTGGAGGGAATCGCAGAGGTGGATGAGCTGGAGGGAGTCGCAGAGGTGGACGAGCTGGAGGGAATCGCAGACGTCGAGTGAGACGTGGAGGAGCTTGAGGGGGTCGCAGAAGACGAGCATGAAGTTGACGGCAGCGTTGACGAACTGGAAGACATCGCCGAGGCCGAGGCTGAGTGAGATGTGGACGAGATCGAGGAGGTCAAGGAAGACGACCAAGTCGCGGACGACGAGTGTGCGGAAGATGAAGCACTCGCTGATGCTGAATGGGTTGTCGACGAAGAAGATGGGCTTGCGGATTGTGACGTTACGGGACCACCGCCACCGGTCGATCTGAGGCTCACGGAGTACGAACAGTCGTCGTTGGAAGCACCGTTTGGTGAGATGATAAGGTTGACTTTTTGCCCTCTCAAAACAGTACCAGTAAGCTTGCCGGTGGGCTGGTCCCTGTCCACCTTAACTTCGGTGCGCTCGCCAGTATTGGTGTTTTCGTACGTGACAGATAGGGTAACCGGGTTCTTCTTGGAGACTAGATCGACGGTGAACTCGATAGTCTCCTTGTCGTTCGCGGCAGTATAAGTATACATGGCCCGCGAGTTGGAGGAACAAAGACCGTTGACAGTGACGTTGTTATCGATGGGTCCTCCTCCGTGTTTACAGACGTCGTCAAAGTTGGTAGCGCCCTTGTCAATGACTTTCTTCACGAACGCATGCATCGACGCCTGATCGGTGATGGTGCCGTAAACGCCACCAGTGGCAGTGACAATCTTTTTGGTCTCCTCGTCGAAAAACTGAACGCCATCTCCGTCGAATAGGTAGTGGTCCTTTGCGAAAGTTTCCTTGTCGACACCTGGCACTGCCATTGTTGCCCAGTGCACACGGATGCCCCTGCCTTGGGCAGTATGAAGCGCGTCCATAAGACGACGCTTGTTGTGCGTCGTGTCAAGGCCGTCCGTGAAGACGACGATCGCCGTGCGGTCGCGGCCGGTGTCGTATTGGTGATCGGTGACTGGGATGATGCGCTGCCTGTCCATGGCGATTTCGATGCCGCTGGCGATATTGGTGCCGCTAATCCATGCCCAGGCACCCTCCTCTTTCAGGGGCCCTGTGACGGCCTTGATCTCCTCGGCACCACCCTGCTGTCCGTTTTCGTGACCCTCATCGTGGATGGAGAAGACTGTCAAAACGTTCTGCCGGTAAGGGTCGTTTATAATAACCTCGGGATAAGGTATGAGGGGGAAGTAATCGAACAGCGCCTGGGCTGCGTCAACCCGGAGGCGGTGGGGGTCGGTCCAGCTGCACGAAGGACTTAGATCGACAACGGCACTGATGATGCGGCCGCTACAGGGATTGTTGTGCTCGCTGAAGACAGTGGGAATCTGGGCAGCCGCCAGTGAGGCCAAGAGAAGGCCAGCGAAGAGCTTCATGATGGAAGAGATCGATTACTCTTATGTGAAGAAGGGGAGTCGATAGCGAAGAGGCGAGGGGCGTGGTCGTGAGAGAACTGCCGCGAACCCTCACTTATATCTCCCGGGGGCATGTTCACCAGCTGCAGCAAGCAGGCGGTCTCCGGGTGACAGCGTTCCTCAGCGTTTCCACCAGGGTGCTCCGTTCCGAGGAACTCAATGTCCTCCTTGAAGAGCGGGAAGGATCAGAACATCCCGCGAAATGTGTTTTCGTCGTCAAACGTCGCGTAGACCTCATCACATGTTACAGCCGAGGCTGCTTGTCGGTGTTGAAACAGCACTGCCGACGCGTCCGTGTATCAGATAGTCAGGGTAACGGACCAAACCTGCATCGTCAGTCTTCCGCGCATCTCAGCTTACCGCCTCATCAATCACGGCGATTGTAGAACGCTCACCATGGCTAAGGAGCATCTAGCGGACAGTCGTGAGATCGCCGGTGACTCATATAGGAACACGAATCCCGGGCACGGCGCGTGCTGAAACCAAGTCACGGACATCTTTAGCGGGAATGTGCCAATGTTGGGTTCGCTGTCTATGATCATCCGAGGCTGTTACTACCCGGGGGCACGAACGAGGGAACCAAGACGTCGCCATCGATGCTGCAGGGTCGTACTGCACAGGCACGTGTTGAGAGTCCGTTTGGATCGGTCACCGCGCGTCACTCCCAACGACAACGTGCTTTGATTTTTGCTCGGTTCACGCTCCGTCTCTTCAGTGATTCGGCCGTGCAGACCCCAGCAGGATGACCAGCAGCCGTTCCAAAGCCGCATCGGGGAAGCGCACGGCCTTGAGAGGAGGCTGGTTGCACGAAAGCGGCGAGACAAGAACGGGACAGAGCGGAAGTTGCAGTGCCGAGGCTCCTTCGTGAGGATACAACTTCTGCCGTCAAGCGACGTGCAGAGTCAGTTGAAACACAGACCTTCGGGCTGCCAACGCTGTACCCCCCACCCTCCCGGAACATGGAACGAAGGGGAGGCATTGGTATGACACGCAGTGAAGTCGTAATTACTGTCTGATGGCACGTAGGGAGGTCCGAGGGAAGGTCATCCGCTCGCTCACAGAATCATCATCCCGTCCTCTGCATTGACGCACGACCTTGGCTCCGCAGATTCGCGACGGTCGAACGACGGTTGATACTTGAGCAAACCTTGGGTCATAGAGCAGATCTTGCCATTCGAGACGACACTTACACAACGCACTCGGTTAGACGCGGAGTTCGAACAAGCTGTGCCGGACGTTAAGGCATTGTCACTTCGGCATCCGGGCCGTTATGCTGCCGCTGGACGCCGAATATGCTTCCGTTGTGGATGACCAGCTAAATCACGTGATTGGACCCACTTCGAACCAGGCACCGAGTTGCCCATCATGGAGCCCTCAGGTCCATGAACGACAGAATTGGACGCCCCTGACGTCAATCAACCCCACCACATGCACCACAGCGTAATCCGCAATGTCCAGACGTCCGCCGAGTGATCATCGGCGAACTTCCAGAATGGGCCCCACGCACCACTACCCTCCCAGCATTCCGGACTAGTCAGTACCTCCTCGGCCCTTAGTAGTTCACAGCTTCTGTAAGCAATGCTTTCGACTTTGCCCACCTTCGCACCATGGTCGCGTTGAGGATCGCCTTACTTGCGGTGACTGCACTTGCAGCCCAGGTGGAGCTGGAGAAGCGAATCTCTGTCCCGTCTGTCGACTTGACTTCGAACAGTACCCGTGTCCCTAAGGCTATCATAACCTCCAAGAATGGGGCCAACGTGACTATCAGTGGTCTCGCGCTTCCTGGCTACGATGCGTACCTTGGGATCCCATTTGCGGAGCCTCGTAAGCTTCCGAGCAGATCTACAGCTAACATTAGCAACCGGCGAGCGTCGTTTCATGGCCCCTGTACCTAAGGACTTCGGAAACACCTCGACGGTCAACGCTACGGTTCCTGGCCCGGCTTGCATGCAACCGAAGAATGAGTTGATGAGTGCCTGGGGCATGAGCGAGGACTGTTTGACTTTGCAAGTTCTTACTCCCAACGGAACAGCCGGCACAGATGCTAAGCTCCCAGTCATGGTTTGGATGTGAGTATCGGGCTTGAAACTGCAGCTGATCGCAGCTATGGTGGCGGATTTATCGCCGGAGCCGCATCCACCTACATTTCCGGTCCAATGATCCAGTACGGCGTTGACACGAAGCGGCCGTTCATTTTGGTCGCGATGAACTATCGATTGGGTATTCTCGGGTGGGGATACGGCAAGGACGTCGCCCAGAACAAGGCAGGAAACTTGGGCATCAGAGACCAGATCCTCGCCTTGGAGTTCGTCCGAGACCACATCTCAGCGTTTGGAGGCGACCCAGCCAAGGTTACGCTGTTCGGGCAGTCGGCCGGAGCCATTTCAACGTCGATCATTATGCTCAACCAAACCCAAAACCTATTTCGCGGCGCCATTATGCAGAGTGGAGCCCAAAGTACAGCGCCCATTACCAACACCAGTACTGGATGGAACGCGCCGTACAACAACACTGCGCAGAACGCCGGATGCATGGCACCCAACACCACCAACCTCGGTAATCTCACCACCTGGCAGTGTTTGAAGCGCATCCCGGCCGACACTCTAATGGCTGCAGCGGCCAAAACCAAAGCCAGCCTTCAATACTCTCTGCCGTACATCTGGGCGCCTTCTGTCGATGGTGACATTGTCCCAGAGTCGCCTTGGAAGATGCTGCAGGAGGGCCGCTTCTCTCGGGTACCTTTCATCACTGGAAACGTCCGTGATGAGGGCACTGGCACGCTCCCGACGTGGCTGAATAGCTCGATTCCGCTCTCCTTCGCCTTTGGTTTGCTCCAACCTCAAGTGTCAAACCCATCGAGCTTCCTCAAGGTGCTGGCAGCTTACCCGAACGTCACCGCTCTCGGTTCTCCTTACGGAACCGGCAATGAAACTTTCGGTCTCGACCCCATTTTCAAACAGGCCGCTTCCATTGTCGGCGATGAGGCTTTCCAGTCTCGTCGCCGCTACTTCATCCGTCAGGCCAACAAGTTTAATTTCACTCGGACCTGGTCGTATGAGTTCAGAGGCGAGACGCCCGGAGCACCACCTTACACAGGAAGTGAGTCAGAGACTAGCTTCGATGCTCACCCCCAGTTGCCCACGGCACGGACGTACCCTTTACTTTCGGCATCGCTACGCCGGAGTACAACTACACGGCTCCGAACGAGGAGCTAGGACGAGGGATGATGAACTATTGGATCAACTTTGCCTATTACCTGGACCCCAACGGCAACATGACCCATAATCCTCACGTGAACACCACCAACACAACAGTCACATACGCCAAAGGTAATTGGAAAAACCCGGCGGTGCGCCAGAAGAAGGGCCAGGACGGCAAGAAGGATGGCGCCCAAAAGGATAAAGGCGGTAAGCACGCACTGGAGAGGACCGTCTGGAGGCCACACGCTTTCCCTGAGAACAAGAATGCGATGCTGTTTGCGCCCGGAAACCTCACAATGATCCAGGACGATTATCGTGAGCAGCAAATGCAGGTGTTCGATGGACCTGAGATGGCGAAGGACCTCAACTACCGGCGTGGCATACTTTGAACATTTGTCTCCGCGATGTATGTGGTATAAGTCGTCTTCTGTAAGCTTTGCTCCTGCGTCTGAGATGTTCAGCGAGCGAGCGTTCAACTCACCAAGTGCCCACGAGTTACGGCTGCGGCTGCGGCAGACGATCTAGCACCCGTCATGATTTCACAAACTCACAGGACGATAACACGCTGCGCAATCTCCTTCTCCGAAGCAATGGAGGAGTGTCCTTCCCTGGCCTTTGGCGACGACAATTGAAACGCAAAGCTTCAATGAGTTTGGTGTCCGGACCGATGTTTGAGCGCCGCGCCACCGGCTCTGCGCCGGCGGCACATGGACAGGCGAGACCTGGACTCGCCATTTCGTCCCTCCGTGTACTAGATTTGATCCATGGACAAGTTTTCCAGACATTTTGGACCACACGCGCTGGCTCTGGAACGGGGGACGCCAGAGCGGAGCTCAACGGCAGGATGTCGATCCAGCTGCCCTCGGTTCGCCATGGTTTCCAAGCGCGATTAGAGTCCAAGGCTAGTCGAGTAACAACACTGATCGATGGCTCGACGTGTGATTCTGCGGAGAGCTGTTTTCTCGCATAGCAGTCAGGTATTCGTGGGTCTCCGCCTACCTGAGCTTT